GCGCAGCGTGCTAATTATAATAATAGATCCAATAACAGGCCAAAACGTGCGACCTACGTGCTGCAATATTTTGTCAAAGGCCGAAGACAAAATGAAAACAAAGCGATAATCACAATAATCACAGCTACCAAGTTCATGATGATGATGATGATGATGATGGTGGTGATAATAATTATGGGGAGACTAGCCCCTCCTAAGTAAAAAACAGGCGGAGTCGCTTTTTTGATAGCCGCGGGCATTTCTTACATTTCAAGGTGAACATTTCGAAATAATTCAACTTGAACTGCTGGAATTAACATTGACATCGCCGCCGACATGCCACACTCGTATTTATATACCCAGTTACATATATAGACATTTTTATGGTGGCGACAGTTTTCGTGCTGAGTTGGCTAAATGTTTTTCCCGCTTTTTGCTGACTTTTCATCAAATTTCTTTGCCTCTCTGTCATGGTTGGCTTCTTAACCTTTGGCGACCCCGTTACATGCCCAAGAAGCCAAACAAAATTGGCATTATACAATAAAGTCTAAAAAGGTAATAAGTTAAAACTGACTTAATTAAAAATCCTAATAAAATGTTGTATAGATTAGAAAGGGTTTATGCTTGGATTTTAATATGCATTTTATAACTTATAAAAAATTACTTATATATTTTCCCCCTCAGTTATGGCCTTCTGGGAGCCTCTGGTTGTGGCAAGACCACTTTGCTGTCTTGCATTGTGGGTCGTCGTTATATGGACGCCGGTGAGATCTTCGTTCTGGGTGGCAAACCCGGCACCCGAGGATCAGGTGTGCCCGGAAAGCGTGTGGGCTACATGCCCCAGGAGATCGCTCTGTATGGGGAATTCTCCATCCAGGAGACCATGATGTATTTCGGCTGGATCTTTGGCATGGAGACCAAGGAGATCTTGGAGCGTCTACAGTTCCTGCTCAACTTCCTCGATCTGCCGTCGGAGAAGCGTCTGGTTAAGAATCTCAGTGGTGGTCAGCAGCGTCGTGTGAGCTTTGCTGTGGCTCTGATGCACGATCCTGAATTGCTGATCCTGGATGAGCCCACTGTGGGCGTGGATCCATTGCTGCGTCAGAGCATCTGGAACCATCTGGTGCATATCACAAAGGCGGGCCAAAAGACGGTCATCATCACGACACATTATATTGAAGAGGCGCGACAGGCGCATACGGTATGGTTATATTTTACTTTATTTTTCAAAAATATAACTAAAATATATTTAAATATAATCTTTAGATTGGCCTAATGCGATCGGGTCACCTGCTGGCCGAGGAGTCACCCAGCGTCCTGCTCTCCATTTACAAGTGCATCAGCCTGGAGGAGGTGTTCCTCAAGCTGTCCCGCATCCAGAGCCAAAAGGGCGATGTGACCCATGTGAACTTCAGGTAAGGATCTGGCATGCACCACGTGGCTAACCCGAAGACACTACTCTAATCACCACTCTGAACTCTCCACTCTGAACTCTACTCCATCCGACACTCGCATGCTCGCAATCTGTGTTCCACCCCCCATCTGTTTGTGGTTTTTTGGTCGGGATTAGTAACAACATCTCGTTGCACGCCATGGCCTTCGGCAGCAAGATGGACAAGCCGAGTTCCAGTCAGGAGGGCGGTGTGGTGGGCCTCAACTTCCACCAGAGCAAGGAGGTGCTGATCAACGACAGCAATGGCTCTATATACACGGTAGGTTTTGGGTCTCCCTATATGGTTTCCTTGCCTAACTTTCATATCTTGTTGATCCCAGCTCAACCAGGAACCGTACAGTCCCCCACCTTCAAGGCGAAACAATAACCCCAATGATGAGGAGAGCTGCCAGGACTGCTATGCCAACCTGTGCAAGATCACCTCCAAGGGCAAGATCCGCGCCCTGCTCACCAAGAACATGCTTCGCATGTGGCGCAACGTGGGCGTGATGCTGTTCATCTTTGCCCTGCCCGTCATGCAGGTGATCCTCTTCTGCCTGGCCATCGGACGCGATCCTCAGGGCCTTAACCTGGCCATAGTCAACGGGGAGATGAACGACACGGTAAGGGTAAGACACACAATTATACACTATTTCACTTAAATACACCTTTGATTCCAAGCTAAGATATAAAACCCGTTTAATTTATTTATACGATAAAAACGCCATTAAAACCTTAAGTAAATTAATTTGTTAGTAACTGCACAATCATAAATTTTCCTATAAAAAAATATAACATTTTATATTCACTTTTTATTTGATTTTTAAATATCCCATTAAACTTTAGACAGATAGAGTAATAAATGAACTTTTAGAGTAATAAATAATCACTTAAAAAGATTTACAAAGCAGCACAATGATTTTAAAATTAACTTTCCATTATTTTAACTAATTTATCTGCTATTATCTTCAGGAGAATTGTTACTGGGAGGATGGCTGCCACTTTAAGAACCTGGGATGTCGCTATCTGAGTCATCTAAACACGAGCGTGGTTAAAACATATTATGAGGACCTGGATGATGCCAAAGAAGCCGTGAGAAAGGGCACAGCTTGGGGAGCGGTCTACATCAGCGAGAACTTCACGGACGCCTTCATTGCCCGAGCAAATCTGGGACGTGACTCCGATGACGAAACGATCGACTCCTCCGAGGTCAAGGTTTGGCTGGACATGTCCAATCAGCAGATCGGCGTCATGCTCAATCGGGACATCCAGCTGGCCTTCAGGGACTTTGCCATGGGTCTTCTAGGCCAGTGCGGCAGCAATCCCAAATTGGGCGACGTACCCATTCAGTTCAGGGACCCCATCTATGGAACCATGAATCCATCGTTCACCGATTTCGTGGCACCTGGCGTGATCTTGACGTAGGTTTCATACATATACATTTTATGGGAGTGTCATTAATGTTTTTTTTTCGTTATATTTAATAGCATTGTTTTCTTCTTGGCTGTTGCTTTGACGTCATCGGCTCTGATCATTGAGCGCACTGAGGTAAGTCAGGGAAATAATTGCTCTATTAAGGAAAAAATGATATTGTTGGACAGAAAATTACTTGATTTAGTAGTCATTAAAACAAATTAAATTTACATATGAAAACTAGTTCATATATATTCATATTTATTATTTCTTTCTTTTAGGGATTGTTGGATCGCTCCTGGGTTGCTGGAGTCTCTCCCTTCGAAATCCTTTTCTCCCACGTGATCACCCAGTTCGTGGTGATGTGTGGACAGACCACCCTGGTGCTGATCTTCATGTTGGTGGTATTCGGGGTCACCAACAACGGTGACCTCTTCTGGGTGATTGTGCTGACCCTGCTGCAGGGCATGTGTGGAATGTGCTTCGGCTTCCTCATCTCCTCGGTGTGCGAGCTGGAGAGGAATGCCATCCAGCTGGCGCTGGGCTCCTTCTATCCCACCCTGCTGCTGTCTGGAGTGATCTGGCCCATTGAGGGCATGCCCGTGGTGCTGAGGTCAGTTCTGGAAGATTACTTCTTTAATTGAATGGTGTTTAAGATATTTTTATTCCCCAGATACATATCACTGTGCCTGCCTCTGACGCTGGCCACCTCCTCGCTGCGCTCCATCCTCACACGTGGCTGGGCGATACTGGAGTCGGATGTGTACATCGGCTATGTGAGCACGTTGTCCTGGATCGTGGGCTTCCTGGTGCTGACGCTCCTCGTGCTGCGGGCCAAACGCGGCTAGGACCTCCAGATATTACGCTATTTTTAGATGCCTACTTTAGATCACGATTAGTCGTCCTTGTCGTCCTAGTTAGTTTACCCCCTACTCCGGCTCTACTTCTTATCGCTTCCAAGTTTCACCGCGTTTCCCAATCTCTTGTATCTGCCCAAATGTCATAAATTATTTAAGCACATTCGCAGCTTTCCTTAGCTTTCTACTCGGCACTCGTTTTTCCCTAGGCTAAGTTTTGCACATTTCGTAGTTTAAAGCGTAAGGTTTAGGTACACCTAAATGAATTGTTGTAAATATTTTGTGTCACGAATTCAGTAATCCGTTGCTAGATGTCCATTACTTGCAACCCTCTGTACTAGACCTTTTCTCGATTTATTCACACACACAACAACTAATTTTATAATTTTTTCAATGGACTGTGATTGTTTTTTCTACATAATTCACGCGAATACACGTAGGGCAAGCCTAAAAAAAAAACAAAAAAGAAAACACAATGAATAGCGAACAAAAACAATGGTGGGTTTTGTTAATAACATTAAGTAGCTTAAAGCATTTTTGTATGGGTTTAAGTTTTTTAAGGTAAAACATAATTAAATACAATAATGTACACTACCCTAAAGAGTATGTAAAGAAATCTATTTCAGGAAATATTATGCGCAGAGCATAAGTATTTCACAACGAACAAAACAAAAGACAATGAACAACGAAAAAGTGAAGTTCTTATTTAAGTAAATCATTAACTATGTGAACGCAGTTATGAATAAATAAAAATAAAAAGTAAATAAAAATAACTTATTCGTTTTTATTTAATGGTTTAAATTGAATTTAATTACAGATTTATTTGAATGGCTCTTTGAAAATGTTCGTTATCGATAACATTCGCGCCACTGTTATCTAACATGCGCATTACAGACCAACAAGAAACTAGGGTATTCTCAGACCTGTTGAATTGCTGAATTGTAAGATTTTTATCAGCGCTCCGCTAAAAATAACGCTCTCATCATTTTCACTAAGACTTATTTTAAAAAACTTACTAAAAACTACTTATATTCACTAACCATAAAAAACAATTTTTAAATCAACAGAAAATATTTCTGCCTCTTATACTGTACTGGATTTTTTACAATTCACTGTTTAGGGAATACCCTTGCTAAACGACTGTAAGCAATCGATAGTCGTAACATTCGATTTTCGCAAGCACTAGTATTCGATATATAAATATTATCGTTAGTGGTTAACCCATCTCTAAGTGCAGCTGATAGAAATCATAACAAAACAATGTTTTTCGATATTAGGTGGTTTAAATAGCGTTTTTAGGCGTTATTTCGGACTCCAAAATGGATAAATCCAGGTCCAGTGCCTACGACAAGTTCGTGGGCTACGTGGAACAGCTGCGCAATACGGAATGCAGGTGGGTTTTAGACCTAATTTGGAATGTTATTGGTTGCATCGAATGTTTTGGGGTGGGGAAACCGGCAACAGTTTGTTGCTCATTACGGAACAATATTGATTAAATGCGGCTGTCAATATGATTCTCGGATGGGTTTAGTGCCCCCAGATGACCCAACTATCTACCTTATCTACCAAAACATTCCTTCAACCTTGAACAACGGGCGCATCCGTTATGACGTCATGCCACATACCTGCACTAATTATTAATCACCCGAAATTCCCACAGTCAAAAGCAGAAGATAACATGCTTCCAGCAGATTGCAGAGTGCATCATGTCGGCTTCGCTGGCGGGACACATCAACTATGCCGCCCACTGTGGCACGGCCATGAATGTCCTGCTGCTCTTCTGCGAGGATGTGGATTCCGTGGTCCGAATGAGTGCCGAGGAGAACCTCAACAAGATCCTCAGGGCACTGGAAAAAACCCGGGTCAGTCGCATCCTCATGGATCTCTACGGCGAGATCAAGCGGAATGGTAATCAGAGGTAAGGAGTCAAATACATATCCCAAGACAACATCAACTAACAGAATCAATCTTTTGAACAGATCCTTGAGAATTTGCTTGAACCTATTCTCTTACTATGCCCCGCAAATAAAGGAGAAGCACATCAAGTGGTATGCAGTGAGATTGCTCCAATGCATGACCACCATTTCCCAACGCAGGGAGACACTGCTCCAGGAGACCCTCTGCGATTTCGTCAAGCACTTCGGTCGTTATATACAACAGGGTCTCAGCGATAGCGAATCCTGCAAGCTCTTTGAGGTGGGATCATTGGCCTTTATTGTATTTCTTTATTTACTGAATTCTTTGTATGCTCTTGCAGACATTTCTGGACAATATTAGCTCCGACTGTGCCGTGAAGCGTCGTTGCTCGGCCCAAAATTGCATCAGCCTTATTGAGCATGCACGCAATAGGAGCCTCATGGCCAGACATGGAGTCAACAAAGTGATGGGTAAGCCATTGGGAAACGGAAATGAAACGGCTTTTAGAAGAGCTACGTGGTTAGTAGTCAATTGGGTTTTTTAAATGCTAAGGAATAAAATGTATACACACGATTAGCCAATCCTTGATAATGATTAGTTGTCCATCCAGGACTTAACAGTTTTATTTTTGTTTACGCTATTGCAATCATCTGTTGTCTCAGGTTGCAATCTATCTCTTTAATATAACATCTAAAAGTCTAATACTACTCTTTAAAAATGTGCACTCTTTATAAAAAACCCGACGAACAGTTTGGTTTTTTCAACCCTAATAAAGCCTTCTAATTAGAAAACACCTGCCCTCATAAAAGCCGTTGTTGTTCGTCTAGATTTGGATAAACTAATCCACAATTCGGTGTTATTGCTGTTAGTTATTTAACGCATTTTCGCTTCGGACACGTCCAGCAGAACGCTCTTTATATTCTCATCAATAATGAAAGTGGTGTTTAAAAAGCGTGTAACGGCCAAATACTAAGCCTCACATAGCTCTGCATATATATGTGTATATGGTTGGTCGAGCTCGCGCTATTGGAAAAAAATATTTTTAATATTCTAAAAAGCCGCAAATCCATGAAAAATACCTTACCAAAATATAAAGCCATCGAGCTGCGAACTTCGTGAGCGGGGGGAAGAGGGTTTTTGGGATTTTATTCAAACTCGCATTGTGAATGCAATCACAACCATGGGGGTTTGTTTGTCTGTGGTCTGTGGGCGCTAAAGGGGGCGTGCCACAATAAGAGTAACTAGACAGTTGATATAAATTATATTTTTACATTGCTGTTGGTAACCAACGCGCAATCGATGGACGAACCATCGAATATATATCGTTTTTTTTAGATTTGTTTTGATTTTAGACAACGATAGCGGGCAGTTTTTATTTTAGCATTCGCTGACTGGCGGACTGCGGCAAAAACAAAAGTCATGGCAACGTGAGCCATGCGAAAATGCTTAAAAATTGCAAACACAAATCATTTTTTATTGAATTTTCATGAAAATATTATTGGCAAACGTCGACGAAGAGGTAAATGCACCTTAGTTACAGTTTCCATTGCTTTTTTATGATCTGTTGTACTGCACTGTAAATGCATTTACTCGACGTTGAAAAAAGTTATTGCATACAGCTCAGTGTTTGGCATTTGCAAACAATTAAAGTGAGATGCCCGGGTTGGAAAAACTAATTCATTTTGTCGGATTACTTTTGCGAGTCATATATGTGGCATTCAAAATTTCGACCTCACCTAAGTTCATATAAATTAAGCTTCGACTTGACTTTACCTTTTGCTCTTTTCTTGTCCAAATGTTTACCTTCAAATCAACTCCTTCGGCTCCTGTTCCTGCTCCTTCCCCGGCCGACTGGTCTTCTAGTCCTGTGTCAACTTTATGCCACTTCTCGGCAAAGGCACAATGCCAGGCAACTCTTCAGCGCATCCTTATACAGTCTGGCGCCTCTTTTTATGGGCACCCATCACCATCGCAGCGTCAGTACTTGGGCTGCCTAGCATCCTGGCATCCTCCTGGCATGGCCCAACAAACAGACACAAAGTACGACCCTGGTCCTTAGTCCTCAGAGCGGAGAACTAAGAACTGGGTTCCTAGACCTCAAGCCCGCCCTCGCCATCTCCGTTTGTTTGTCTCCGCCCGTAGACGAAATGAAATTTATGCACTTGGACACTTCCATGCAATAATTCATGCGAAATTGAATCAGATATTCATTCCTGTGCAGCTTTAAAGCGGATAATCAACGTTGTAAACAAATGCCAGCCGAACGAGGCCAGCAAAGCCAACAGCTGCAAAGGGGAGCTTTTGAAAATTTATGTTGCCCACTGACTGATGCCAAGCTAAACAAAAAGGGGCAAATTATTTTTCATGTCAACTGTGGGCAGCACAAAATGGCCAAATGACCAATTCATTTTGTGAAATCACTGCTGATCTTTTTGGAAGTGTACTTTTGGCCCTTTGATAGTCCATCAGGTTGAGAATGTCAAAGTAATCATTTCATTATTTGAATTGTTGTTGAGTTTAGGCAGTCCTGAAAGCAAACTTTCCAAAAATATAATTACGTATTTTGAATGCTTCGTATTTAGTTATTTTTTCCTATTTACCTGCATACTATGGATACAAAAACTATATGATTTATTTGGAGCTGCTTAAAATTTAATATATAATATATAATTGAAAATGAGGTTAAATAGCCAAAACTATCCCTTCAGCTTCTTATAAGTTTTAATTTTTTTGAATCATAAACTCCGATTCTGTGATCCCCAATAAGTAGACCTCAAACTGAACACCTTTCGGGTGGCTATTAATTGCAGTCTTTAAACGTGCCCAGCATGAAGCCTCCCCCTCCTTCTCCAATCCCATTTTGGGCTCGCCCATTTTGCAGAAAGTTCTTGCGGCTTCTGCCGCAATTAATTGATACACATGGAAACAGGCCGCAAGTTTTGCTCGGCAAAGTCACTTGGCTGCCATGAGGGCCATGTAAAAAGTTTCTCCGGCGAGAAGTGTTTTCAATTTTGCGCCCCAAAGGAAGAAAATGAAAACTAATTGAGTAACAAACTTTCAACATGGCGTTTTGTGATTGGTGGCGTATACGTAATGAAACGACAAATAAGCGGAGACAACAAGAGCAAGAACTGCGGGAGGTCGAGGTTCTCATTTCCAGCTTCAGCCCCAGTCCCCAGTCCCAGTGGGTGGGTGCATGTGTGCGGAGTCTATAAATATCAGATGGAAAGTTTTCAACGAGATAAATTTAATTGGAGGCAATTTGTTGCAAAACATATGAGGGAAAAGTTGCCAAGAACACGAAAGAAAGAAGTATGAACAGCAATTGGCCGGCCAAACGCAGATGGAAGTGGGTTACCTTTGGCATTGCCATGGGTGTCTTGTATTGGTATATCGGTATCTGGGTCTTGCTTATTGAGCAAATTGGAATTGCCAGCGCACGCTGCGCAAAAAGTTTGAAGAGCGTTTTTAATTTGTATCAAACACAGCAGAGCCATAAGTTTCACTCCATTAACTAACTTATCCTTATTATTTCTCCTTCCTCATTTTTTTTTTTTTTGCAGAACTCCTGCTGACGGATCAGCAAACGAGCAGCGTGCTGGGAGCCTTGGGTCTGCTGCGCCTCCTGTTGCCGCAACTCATACGAGGCCACTCGGCCGATGGCCACGAGGATTCCGAGTCCTTGGCCGGCAAGAGGCAGCAGCACCAGCAGCAGACAACGACCTCCGACTGCCGGCAAATTATTGAAATTTATGATTATTGTTTGCACCTGCTGAGCACGCAGCACACCGCGAATCACGCCATCATAAATGCCACCCTGGAGGTCATCAACGGCATACTCCAGTTCCTGGACGCCCCAACCAACGATGGCCAATGTAGCCAGAGTCTGGGCCAAAGTTTGCGCCAACTGTTGTGCAATCAACAACTGCAGCACAATGAGTATTTGCGGCGAAGGAAATCATTAAAGAATCAAATATTCCAATTGAAAAATTACGAAGTGGCGACAAGTCAACAGCAGCTCGAGGATGATGATGAGGACGAGGATGTGGATGTGGATGGGCCGGCGGTTGGGGCCACTGCAGTGCAAATGAAAAAGAATTCAAATGCAAAACTGCAGCAGGCGAAGTGTCAACAGCAGCGGCAACAACAGCGACTCGAGGTTGACAACAGCTCGCTGGGAATTAATGCCGGGGAAGATGCCACGACCGAGGCTCCAAGTTCCGTTGCTGATGAAGGTATGGCAAATAAGGCATGGTATGGCAAGATGGTTTGTGGGTTTGGGTTTGGGTTTGGGAGTGTGTGAGCGCGCAGTCATGTGGAAATGTGACATGCTGACAGAGGATCACAGAGGAGCTTGGAGGACAGGGCAGGGACAGGGGCAGGACACGCGGACGGAACCAACAGACAGACCATGCCGAAATCAAGAAAATTGAGCAATTGCACAGGCTGATGGAGACACCCACACACAATGCACATATGAAAATTATTAGTGCATGCTTTTAGGCGGCGGCACATGCAGGAACGAGGTCAGGCCAAATTTGCATTTGCATTTGCCGCCAGCGGAATCCTGCACAAATATTTACACAAATTGTAAGGCCAACCCATACTCACATCCCTTTTCCCATTTATTTTCCAGGGGGATCCATGGAGGCAGCGAAGCAGCGCTGCCACATTAGGAATGCCGCACGCAGCATCAGCGAATGCGTTGCCTCGGATGAGGACAAGCAGGGGCAAGGACACCGGCGACGGCAGGACGAGGATGATGATAGGAGGGCAGTGGCAGCAGCGGGAGAGGAGCAAGATGATGATGATGATGATGACGACGACATGGAGCTGCTGAGTGCCGAGTGTGATGACTTTACAACCCTGTCGCAACTAAATGAACAACAACAGGCGCTGTCAGCGGCATTGCAATTGCCCGCAACAACAGCAACATCGCAGGACGATAAACTGATTGATGTTGATGCCGATGTCGGGGGGCTGCCTAAACCGCAGCATCAGTCATCTCTGCAGAATCTGCTCGCCGGCAGCGATGACAAATCCCAGCATTTGAGTGACATCGACAATGAATCTTTCAACAGCATCGATTTCGAAGCCGAAATCACAATTGCCGGCAGCAAAGAGCCGCATCAGCAGCAGCAGCAGCAACATCCTCCGGCGGATGATTCGGTGGAATCCGGCGATGCAACAGCAATTGGCACATTCTTCAACAATCTGCTGTCGCATTCCAATGCAGGTGAGTCAGCCATAACTATGAATTTATATTCGATGGAAATATTTCATTAGCAAAGTTCAAAGTCAGCGAAGCAAGTTCAAAACTATTTCCATTCGATGTTATTGCATTTCATGGTCTACCGCAGTCGCCACCAAATTCTATTTGCCCGTTCTTTAGATTTTTGGTGTTTTTTCCGCCAAACAATTCAGCATTTACTTTCAATATTCCGTTGGCTTTCGATGGCATTATTTGCATAATTGCGGCAGAACTGCAGACGTGACTTGGAGGCGGGGGCCGTTCTCGATTGCCAATTGCACTTGCGATTTAATGAAGCGTAATTGTTGCCACTGCAACTAGCAACTCTCCTCGGTTGTCGAGCAAAATTAGGCAATTCGTGCACAAGTATTGTTGTCCGTGAAGGAGGTGTGAGCACCATGCTGCTAACAAAGTTGAGTTTTGATCCTAAAATAACGACGTTAGATCTAGGATTTTTATATGACAAATAACTTATAATAAATGACATTATACAAATGGCATTGAAGTAAATGTATTTTAAAGGGCATAGCAGCTTACCTTGCGAACAGAGCCCTTAAAGAACATGACTTCCTTTCTAAGTATTTTAGTTGATTTCTCGATTTAATAAGTACCTATTTATTTTTGTTCGTGCACCCTGTGATGCATCTTGATGTTGGCTTTTGTCTTGTCAGTTGACATGGGCAAACAACCCCCCCGCTTTGATTTTAATGCTATTTGCTGACATTTCATTGCATATTGATTGCCCTGTCCTTGATATAATTTATTTTAATATTTAAACCGCTCGAATGCCGCCTGACTTGCTGAAATCAACTCACAGTAACGAGCGCCAGTCAAGTGCATATAAGTATGGCACACTTTTCCCCTGACCTATAAACGGATGGAATGGAGGAGGGACTGGGACAGGGACGAGTGGCAGACTTGATGCCAGACCCATGTCCTGTCGTTAGTTAGTGCGCGGGGTGGAGGCTAGTAATAAACAAAGGAAATGTACTGCACTGAGCCGGAAGTACTAATTAAGCGAATGAGTTGAGGGCGGAGTAGAGCACTGGAAAGGGATGGGTGGGAATAAAGGGGGGAACAAAGACAACTTGTCGGGGCGGATGAGAGAGGGGTGCGTATAAAAACCCACATCTACTTGACGTAAATGTTGGGCTTAAATCCGGCATTTCTTGTGTGTGTGTGTGTGCGAGGGATGCGGATTAAGCTTGAAACATGGCAATGCATTTGTGCTGTGCGATGGCCCCAAAACTCTCCGCCCGCCAACCTCATTGCTGGTTTTCTTGTGCCGCCACTGCCACTTGGCCAAAGCATCACACTGCAAGTTGGCAACAAAGTGGTTAAGACAAATGGGTTACGTGATAAAATGCGGTTACTCAAATTGCATGTATGCAAGCTTACATGTTGTGTCACAGTATACGTGTGCCGGGTGTGTGTGTGTATGTGTTTTTGGCGGGGGCGTGTGTATAGGATGTGTGTACACTGTGTGTGTGGCGGTTTATTTAGCATTGCCAGGACCAGGAATAGTCAGCCAAAACGAGAGGAGCCAGCCATCAGTTGCTGCACTTTGCCTGCTCCGATTTTAGCTTTTTTTTTTATTTTCGTCCTGCTGTTTCCATCGCCTCATGGTTTTGTTGTTATTGTTGTTATCCTTTCTGGGCCGTATTAGTTGTTTTTGCTATTGTGCACTTATGCGCTATCAGCCTTTTTGCGCTGCTTTCCTCGTCCGTCCGCGGTAGTTATTGCCGCTTGTTTGTTTTCTTTTTATAAATATGTACATTGTACATATATATCTAGGGCCATAACATGTGTGCTCAGATATGTGGCCACAGCCGCCCGTCCTTATCTGCATTAGAGCCCCGACGATTAGTACACTCTACCAAGGACTCCAGGGAAATGCTCTAGTGATCTCATCACAAAATAATATATTATATAACATATTTAATTAGTTTCTAAAACAATCTACGACCTTTTGTTATAGTTAAGAGAAAAATACGATTAGTTTACTCTACCAAAGACTCTAGGAACAAACTCCGGTAACTTGATCTTTTATATAAATTTTAAAGAAAATCCATTTAAATAGGATACTTCTTTCCTAATACTAATACTAAATTTATCTATATTTTCTTGTATTTATAAAATGATATTTATTAATAAATTTAACTTATTAATACCTATGTAAACAATAAACTATAAATTGTTGAGATAACTTACGTACTAGATCTACAAGAGCTAACAATTTTGATAGTGAATCTAGGCTATCATTTTGTTTGGGCCAGCCATCTTACTCTATTTTCATAAACCATTTTTTCACGACTGTTGGTCTTGTCTTTCGCCCACTTTTTGTAATATTTTTTGTACCCTTTCCCTGCATCCCCATATGCAACTTGAGCTGTAAAAAACATTTGCATGTGTGTGGGTAAGCGGAGAGGTTTTCCCGTCTGTGTACCGGGCATAAAGTAGCAGCCACGAGACCTTCTCCCCGCTGTTTTCCCGACCAGAGCGCGCTTTTCCTACGCGGTTTTCATTGTCGCCTAGTTGGGGGTTTTGTTTCTCCCTTTTTGCTTATACGCTTCAAAGTTTTATTTGCCATTTTTGTGTGCTGCATTTTTTGTTTGCATTTTCAACGTGATTTTATAATAAAAAAGAAAACACTCAACCGAAGTTGCGGAGCTGCTGGGCTGCCGTTTTCACTTTTATGGAGGCGAAACTATTAAAGCATAAAATGGCAGCCAGAAAACCCCACCCGAACAACCCCAAACATAATTACTGGCGAGTGTATGAGCAGGAAAGTTCCATAAAAGACCCTGATTTCGGGGTACTTTTATGAGCACCCAGCTTTTGCTAATTTTGTGGCATGCCAATGTAATTCTGAATATATTTTTGGGTAAATCTGCATTTTAAATGGAGCATTACTACTTGTTAACTACAAGGTGTGCTGCCTAAACTTAAGCCTTTATATTTGATTATCAACTAAATCTTTTCAAAAATATTGATCTAAGATCTTTCACTTTAGAGTAAACCTGGTTATTGGGTTAGTAATAATACAATATTTCGGATTTGGCATATCTTTAGCCAATTTGTGGGATTACCACTTGTAGTTCAAGGATGTTCTGCTGAAACCCTGATCAGGCTTCCTCTGTAGTTTATCTCCCCCGAACAATACATGCGAGCACTTTGACCATAAAGTGCTCTGCTGCTTCCGTTGGCCGCAGTCGTGGAATCGTGGTTGCTCTAATTTTTACAGCACTTGCATGCGGCCGGAACATCCATTAGAACAATAACACAAAAAACAAAAAAAAAAAGAAAACAACAACAACTGGGAAAGCCACAACAAGTGCATCTAAAAGATGCAGCCATTTTTAACCCACTTAAGTGGTCAGTCGGAGGAAGCGAGTGGCTGCACTATACTCGTACTTTCCATGAAATTGAAGTTTTCAATTAATTTTCAATACAAGATGAAGAGCCCGGCAAGTTTGCCCGCGGCGGCAAGCTAATAGAACAACATAAAAAGTAGCTAAGGAAAATAGTTTTAGCGGTTTTACCCACATCCTTGCAATTTCCTTTGCCCTCATGGCTTGGCTCACAAAGTTTGCCACGATAGACGATGGACGAATGTGCCGGGTAATTGGCCGTCTGGAGTGGCCGCAAATTAGCCAACGCCATTGCTGGCATTAGTGTCAAACCAAGTTATCTGCTAGACCTTCGAAAGGACGCACTAACTCGGGGCTTTTGTGCTTGCTCTTATCCTTCCAGCCTCGGAGTCGGTCAGTAAGCTCTTTCGTCAATCAAGCGGCTCTAAGTCCACGCCCTCCAAGTCGACGCCCGCCGACAAATCGGATGCCATCTCGACGGCCTCGCTCACGCTATCGCTCACCTCCTTGGCCAGCAGCAGCAACACGGAGCCGCCGGAGCGACAGCCCTCAATTGCGGAGACGCCCACGCCGCTGGAGGACTCTTGCTCGATGACTGCCTCCCACACGGCCTCCACCGCCCTCATGATGGATCCACCGGCCGTAGATGTGGCAGCTTCTAAGCCCGAAACACCGCAGTTGCGAAGCACGCCCAACGGTAAGTCGCCGGGGCGACTTGTCGCACCTAGGAGACACTAATTAGAAGCTTTATCTCCGCAGCTAATCCCTTTCTAGTGGAGAACTCGCCGCTACGGCAGACTGTTGTCGGTCGTGCCCAGATCACCGTGAAAATTGGCAGCATCCTGGAGCAGTCGTTGGTCTACTATACGGCTCGTTTGGTGGCAGCTCGATTCCTGCTCAGTGGACAGGCGGCGGGATTACAGCCCGATAGCATCAGTAGAGTATCCATTAAGAGTCTCTCCTTGGCCGTGATTGCGCAATGTGTACGCTTGGCTCCCAGGGTTCTTCAACTCAGCGTGGAGATCAGCGATCGGGAACTGCAGCTGCTGGAGGAGGACGTATCCCGGGACAGCACTCAGGTGTCCAGTCCTCAGAGCAGCGACAATTCACAAGTGGGCGGAGAGAAGGCTTCGATGGATAGTAGCCTGATTCAAACCGATCTGGAGGATAACCTGCTCCTGTGGACATCAAAGACGACCACTTTGGCCCCAGCACCTGTCCAGCTTACCTGCAGCCGGCTATGCCCACGCTGAGTCGCAGTGCAGATGCTTCGGTTCTTCTGCTTAGTGGATCCTCTTCCTCTCATCCTGCAAAAAATCTGCGCAGGAAGAGAAACTCTCAAGTCCGAGATCATTGGCAGCTCATTCAAACCCACAGTGGCAGCTGAGGATGTGCCACCGTTGAGCCTGCCGCCACGTCCACCCAAGCGCACAAAGTCTACGCGCAGTCGCTCAGGAGTTCTGGGATTAATTTCCACCTCTGGGACGCCTCCAACTCCTCAAGGCTGCCAGGCACTTTCGGATATCTGCTCTTCCATGACCACACCGATCCCATTTTGCGTGGTGGAGTGCAGCAAGTTGTGGGTTACTTCCTGCAATCCAGTGGAGCTGGACTGTTTCTGGAACTGAAACGTAATCTTGGTCTGCAACACTTGCTGGCCATTTTGTTGAAGGTGAGTGGGCGATAACCTCTACGCGATATTCGCACAAAGCGTTTCATAGCCACAGGCACTCCGATGAAAGTTCCTTTAATGGGTAGCTCCAATCTGCCGGTTCTTGGTTAATGGTAAGCCACATTACATGTATGCTAACCCGCTTTGTATATCTGGCGCCATATCTTTGTCGTGGAACGCCCACTTGCAGTCCCTCTCTCTTTCGTCGTGTTACTCCATTTTCTACCCCTTGTGTTTGCATAACGCATACGTCACGTTGTACGACCGAGTATTTGCTTTACCCTGTGAAAGGTATGGGGACTTACTTAGGAAGTTGGTATCAGTTTAAAATAATATTATGATTTTTTAAAAAACATTGTTAAGGCACAAAATATGTCTTTTTGTTATTCTAAAAACATGTTATTTAAGAATTCCGTGAAGTTTCTTAGGGCATCCAGCATCGCATGGTTGACCTGGTTTGCTATGTGTCAGTAGCGTAGCTTACCCTTTTTTCCCCTCTGTGCAAACATTCTATATCTATAAATATGTGCCCCCACCTTTTCGCTGTACTTTTTTCTATGTTAAACCATCAAGCTAACATATTTTAACACATGCAGGCAAACACACACGGACACGGACACGTGTCCATATCAATGGCTGCTGCCTTTTGAATATTTTCCAGCTCCAGCTCCAGCTCAAGCCAGTTGCAGTTGGAGGAGCTTAGCCGGCGGCATTTGTGTGGTTGGTTGTTTTTCATTTGAAAATAAGAAAGAAAATTCTTATCGCCTTCGCAATGTGCAAGTGCAAATGCCCCTAAAGGGAGCAGCGCGCATCCGTTGCCATCTTACTTTCACCCATCTAACCCAACTCTTGCCATCCCATCCTCTTACCTTCCGGTATGCAGAATGTGCGCATAAGTTGCACATTGATTTCTGTCTGGGGATTGGCCGTGGCAGTAAGTTGGGGCTCCGATGCGGGGATGGTTTCTTATTGAATTCAATAATTTAGTGGCCAGCACCGAACATTTAAATTGCTGCTGGCTGCTGGCCTCCCCAAAAGTGCAATTTGATTATGCAATGTTGTTGCAGCGAGATGCACGCGCAGATGGGGGTTTAGAAAAGGAAACGAAGGGGAGAAAGGATGAACTGGAATGGGAATGGGACGCAGGACGTGCTAGCTGAAAATCACATTAGATGCCTGCTACATAATGGCTGCAAATCCGTCTCAATGGCACTTGCCAGCATACCAAAATTGGAGCCAAAACGAGATAGGGATTGTGGGTTAGGGATGGGTCGGCGGTGGCGGTGGCGAGTGGGAAGATCTTCCCTGGAGCAGGCCAACACAGGCCAAAGGCAAAGCAACTTTGATAACAATAGCCCTTTGGTCGGGGTCTGCAGCTAGGAAAAGCTTGTTAGGGATTCGTTAAAAATGCACACACTCTCAGATGGATGCCCGGATGGAGGGCAGGGAAAGGAATGGCAGGGATAGGAATAGGGATGGATGCCTGAGAGCTGGCCACTGTGTGATTGTGGAAAACTTTTTGCTTGTGCAAACAATAAAACACAAATTCGCTTAGCCAACGACTCGTTTTGGCCGTAGCTAGCCGTCTTATGCCTGTTCTTGAGATCCTGTATAAAGAAATTTAGCCGAAAAACTTTTTGCTCTCCCCCACTTATTGCAGGGCTTTGAGGACGAGATCCACACAGTGGTTATACAAGCGTTGAATGCATTCGATAAGATATTTCCGCATGTGGTGTCCAAATATTTGACAGAGCCGCCATGTCATTATCATGCTCATCAGCAGCAGCAGCAGAAGCAGCAGCAGCAACAGAAGGAGCAGCAAGACCAGGAGAAGGACAACCAGGAGAGGGACCTGCAACGACATTCAAGTGGACAACAAAAGCGTCCGGGCCAGGCGCAAACATTTGGCCAACAAACTTTTGCAAAGGACCAGGATAATGCCTTAAGCAGTCAACGGCTGCAACAAAGGCGTCCTAACGATGCCGGGACATGTGCCAAGTCCTCGGCCACTGATAATGATGAGCTACTGGCTGTTCTTTTGAATGATTTCCAATTGCAATCGACTGGGGTGCAGCAGCAGCAGGAGCAGGAGCAGCACACTGGGCAGTTGGGTAATGAGCCCGATCTCGATACCAAGTCCAAGCCCAAGCCCCAATACCGAACTGGTTGACCCTTCTGTGTGTTTGCCATCTCACCCAAATTGCTCTTGAGCAAACTCCGGCTCTGCCATCACAATAAATATTGGCTGGTCCAGAATAAATACGCCGAAGTTATTTCGAATTTAAATTACGTGCTGCTGCGGTCGTACTACGCAAATTCTCGTTGTACCATCATCGACAACAAAAACAGCGGCGCCAAGGAGCAGGACTCGAGGCGGCCGTCAAGGGATGCCTGCGATTCTGGCCGGGATGCGGAGGGCGAGGACATTGTCTGCACTTATGAGGTAAGCAGCTAAATCGTCTTATTACAGCCGGGCCCGCTGGCAGTCCGCTGCTCGCCAGCTTGTTTATTGTGCAGATTATTTTACGAGTGTGTTTTCTTCGCCCAGCGAAGGCTTCCAAGGCATCCTCTGACAACTCTTATTGAACATTTGTGCACTCAAGTGTGTGGCCGGGCTCTTTGTGCATTCTGCAGGAGACTCCCGCAGTCTAGGAGGAGCACATCCTGCCGAATGCTGAATGCCGAATGACGGACCCACTGACAGCATGACGGACTGGCTGACAAGCGGAACTCGGAACTCGGAGCTTCGGGGTTCTTGTGGCGCTTCGCACACATATATTTGTTTATTTATTATTTTGACAAAGCTAAGCAATTTACTAAATGGCACTGAGAGGGAAAACGTACATCAGCTTGAGAGTCGGCAAACAATTGAGCCAAAAGACGATTGACGGATCAGACTGAATACCCAGAAAATGTATGGGAATGAAAAGAGCTTAACTGCTGCCTAGAATTTCGTATTCCAATCGTAGTTGCAATTATGGTTGACTGTGTTTTCGCAAAGTTCAAAACTTGGAATGCCGCATTTTTGATGATTGTTCACTTAGAAAAAAACTTAATTTTATAATTTACTCCACAATTTTTTTTAATATTTAAAAAATGTTTGTATTAATATGTTGCATACTATTCTTTTGTAAACTTAAGAATTCAATTCAACCCATTTAAATTTAATTCTACTAATGGATTGGAAAGCTTCGAAATTTCTGTAAAATTAAAAATTTAATTATATATATCTATATATTTTTTTAAATTTTGAAAATAGTCACACATTTTTGTACATCTTTCCAATTTTTAAAGAAATTTTAATACGTAAATTTAATAATTATAAAGGCGTAGTTAAGTTTTGGTGTTTATGTAAAGAAAAATGTTATACTTAAAGGGTATAGAGAGGTTTAAAAAATAGTGTTCGTTTTTAGGGTCATTGAGATCCACTTTCCTCAGTGTTCTACCTTCCCGGCCAAATCGACTAGGCAAACCGCATCTGCACGGGCATTCGAAACTGCCAAACTGCATAATGAAAACTTGGCTCACTTTTGATTTACAACGTGCCGTCAACTGACTCAAAAACACTTTGCTCCCCTTGCAGGCGCAATTTCTGGCTGAACTTTTACATCTGCTCGGCGACGATGATGCGCGGGTGCGGGAACACGCCGCCTGCTGTCTCTGCCGCTTTATAATGCAAACGGCGCGCCAGGATCCATCGAAGGAGGCGAGGGATGAGGGCACTGGAGGAGCAGGAGATGGTGGCGGAGGCGAAATCGAAGGCAATGGCAATGGCAATAGCAACGTCAACGTGGAAACTCAACAAACTAATTTCAATTTGCTGTGGGATTTTTTCGACTATCGCATATTTGGCAGCATGTCCGTGACGTTGCGTAATTTATTCCGGGCCAGTTCGACGATTGTGCCGCCTCTGGCTGAATTGGATGCAATGGCCTTCTCCTCCTCCGCCTGTGCCTCCGCCTCAATCTATCCAGAAACGGGCAGCACGTCCAGCTCCTCAGCATCGGCATCTGCCTCATCCGGATCCATAGCGGCAGTCTCCGCGGCGTCGGCCTACTTCGAGGCAAGTTACGGCATCGGCATCGCCGAGGGGCATGTTTTTGCCCTGGCATCGGCATCCCAACGTCAAATCGCGCAGGAGGAAAAAGTTTTGGCCAAAGTTTTGTATCGCTTGACAAATAAATTGATGACGCTGAATGATAAAAATGTGCAGGTAAATATTTGTGTTTGCCAGGCAGCCGCCAATCGAACTGAACTGAAACGAAACGAATCGACCAGATACCAGATATAGACCAGATACTCCCATCCCGACCACTCTCTCATCCTGTTTTCCCTTCACAGTTTGGCATAATTTACGCGCTGCGCCTCCTGCTGAGGCACTTCAATTTCGTGGACTATCAACAGGCCTGGCTGGAATTCAATTTCGTTGAAATTTGCATTAGCTATGCCTACTACAACAATGCAACAGCTGCGGACCTCGGCTGCCAGAACGATTTGATTGATGTGATGGGCAAATTAATGGCAGGTGAGTAGTGGTTCGGTGCTTACACCGATCGCAAACGGGGTTACTCTGCTATTTCCTTGCTATCCCATATCCCTATCCCTATCCCCAGCTTTATAGCTCCATACCCCAACCCCATTTAAGCCGACGTTCGCATTCATATACCGCATTAATTCATGGCTGGCTGGCGTGCCTGATGATTTCTCTCTTGTGCGCCTGAATGCCTTCCCGATATTTCCGATATTTATTGGATTTATTCGACTGGGCCGGACGGTCGACGCTTTGTGGCTCGTTTGGCTAATTTAATTTAAATGGAATTACAAAAACAGTAATTTTTAGTCTCAGACTGCATATTTAATTGCATTATGCTGTAATGAATGCTGTGGCAACGTTTGCATAAATCATTTTAATTAATTGTTTGTCATTAAATAGATTTGCATAAATATTTTCATGCTGCGGTGTAAGTGACTGGGCGCAGTCTATTTTTTTAGCTGTTATTATTTTTAAATTTAATCAAGAAAAACTGGAAATTAGCATAAATGGTTTTAAATTTCCGTTGCACTAAAAGTATATTTAGCTAGCCGAAAAAAAGGGCGAACAATTAAAAAATCGGGAAGCCTATTACAGATATTACAGAATACATAATACACTTTCATTTTATTGTATAAATTATTCTATTAACGTGGCAAACATTTGGCACAGGTGTGTGACATGCAGACAAAGCCTTCTGTAATAGGCTTTAGTTCAAACTAAAATCGGTGCCAAACGTTGCATTAAATATAGGTAACAAACAAAGGCGGCATTCATGCTCACATTTTCCACAACGTATCTGACCCTTTTTAATTTAATAATTTTAAACAGCATCATTAACAATGCGCATCTAAAAAATACCAGCAACTGTAACAACATCAACAACAGTAATGCAGATAGTAGTGCACTAATAAACATTTCAATTCAATTTACGAAATGTTTTCAGCACACAACAAAAAACAGCAAACAGAAAACCAAACTTCAACTCAATTTCATTAGGGCATTTCACAACCACCGAACCGTCGAACCACCCACCCTTCACCAGGTCGGTCGACATGCATTAGGATGCTATAAATTTTAGGGGTATTATGCGAAAAGGTAGGGGTACGGCGACAGCCTCTCTATTATTTATCATGCCAGTCGCGTATTTGCTACGCGCTAATGTAATCCACCATAATCAAAAAGTAATTAAATTATTAATAAACCATTAAATGTTAAACAATTTTTGTGTCAGTGGCGCCGCACCGGCTGCTTTTACCCAATAACCCCCATGAAAAACCCTTTCTCCTAAAACACTTGCCATTGCAATTTGCATTTGCATTTGTGCTGCTTGCGTGCATTGCACATTCAACAACATTCAATAACATTCAACAATTTAATATTTAAGCCGCGTGTACTTATGTGGCCATGTGTCTGGTTGTCCGTGTGCCCTGCCTATCTGGACATCGATTTGAAAACAGAATCGCCAAATGTTTTCCGACACTCTCGCGTGCGCTTCATGATAAGTTTTGACAGTTGCCAAAATGTATGCAAATAGTTTCCAATTCATGCCCGGAAACAAAACACAGCCAACGAAAATCCTTTAATTGTGGCCTATGTAAATTCACAGTTTACCGATGGCTTAAAGCCACTGAGAGTCACCTGCATTCCCACCTGATGTTGTTGTAGGCAGAGATGGATATTACCTAGGTCGTTTTAACCATATTTATAACAGGGTCCTTTTTTGCTTACCTAGTTATTGTATGAGTCCTCTAAAAACTGTATAGAAAGGTTAGAAGATAACGACCATTTCGTCTTATATCTAATTGATAGAACCGATTGTTATTTGCATTTAATTATGAGGTATAAAATATTTAAGAATTGTTTATATTTTGTAAACTTTTAGGTACCTTAAATATAGTACCTTTCCCATCACTGATGCACAGCATATAGTTTCCACCCCAATTATCTAGTTTTATGTTTTCAAGATGGTTAAGTTGGATGAATGAATGATGGTATGGAATGTACAATGCAATGAAGCAATTTTGAAGATTTCACTAATAATAAATGCTTTTTAAGAGCCTTGGGGAATCATTTATCACAATTCTCCGTGTAGTAATGTTCTTGTTATACCGTGCGGTTTAATTCCACTACTTATGGACATATCGTGAGCAGTGAAATCTCACCCCACAACCTACCTACCTTTTGCGAGCCATAATCGAACGTTGAACTGCCGCCGAAGAGGGGGGAAAAAATATCTGAAATGCGCGATAAATAAATATAAATTGGTAACGGAAGAATGGCGGCGTCTCATTGCGATTGTGTGCAATTTTCAATTAATTAGTAAATGTAATGCAAACGGCGATCCGGGGCCGCAGGCGATATCCACTTGCCCATTGTGGCATCCCCGAAGGGGTTCTTTAAATGGCTCCCTTAACACTTAATTTTTATAAATATTTATGCGCATACAATTTAATTTATTTGTAAATAATAATTTTTTGCATCGGCATTTCCTTTGGCAGCCGCAAAAATACAAATTTATATTGCTTATTGCCGCTGAATGTTGCATTGTTGACACATAAATTGAAATGTTGCGTGAGTCGCCATACACACGCACACGCACACATTAATTAACGTTGATAAATCATAGCATACTTTGAAGCGTTTTCCGCTTGTTACCTATGCAATTTTTGTTTTAATTTCACATTATTTTTCCGCCTTCCGAGCTGCGCATACACATAAGCATATATAGGATATTGCCATGGCAATCCCATTGAATTGTGCATTTTTCAATTGCAAATCCATTAATGCGTTTTTCATTTGGTGAGCTGCAATTACGCCGCATTTGTATAATTTTAAGAGCTCGTTTGCATTTTAACACAATTAGCCCCGGCGGGATCACTTAATTTGCCATTAATAAGCCCTGCTCCACATTTCATTCCAGGTGCCATGCTGAGCTCAGGTGAGCCAAGTGCCCCCCATCTGGACTTTCTGCTGCGTCACAGCGTCAAGATGCTGAACATCTACTATCACCTGGTCACCAATCAGCGCCACCCACCGCCAACCAGTTCCCATTCCGGGAGCAGCAGCAGCAGCGGCAGCTCCAAGCCGCCCAAGAGCGAGCTCTTTGCCCGCGAACAGCCAGCGGCATCCCTTCAGGCTCTGGGTTACTTTGCCGGCGATTACGTTTACATGAAACTTTACAACATTTTAAGAGGTGCTAATGACAGCTACAAGGTAAGTCAAGCCACGGACTCGCGGATTCAGAGCGAGCAACCGCCATTAAGTCGCTGGTGGCGCCGAAATGGCAAAAGTTGCGCGGCACGTGCACTGAGATTTGCCAGCAACCCAGCAACCCAGCATCCCAGCATTGAGCATCCAGGATTCAGCTTTAGATGAAGCTGGAGATGGAGTTCCATCCTTTGGATGCACGTACAGCGCAATGCACCGTTTTATATGCAACACTTTCTACCGCTGCCGCAGCAATGGCAATGGCAATGAGTTGTAAAAATTCAACCCGCGACGAAATGCAGCCAACGTAGCATCCCCACTTGACTTTTGCCACTCGCAGCTCAAACAGAAAACTTCTCCGAGCCGAGTGACTTAATGTGCGGGTTGCATTAGGTTGCCACCATCATTTACTCCTCCTTACTAACTTTTTCTTCTTCTATTTTTCCCAGATAACCATAAATCACGAGGCCGGCAGCTTATTAATTTGTCTCCTGAAAACCTGCCTCAATGCGTTGGGCCTGTGTCTGGAGGGCTTGGTGAGTGCCTCGCCCCCGGAGCTGAAATTAATCGAAGAAATACTCCACTATTTGACCAAGCTCATAAATTATGCGCCCGCCGAGTGCGTTGCATGTCTGCGGCAACTGTTGAAATATTTATTCGCCCAAAATTATGCCAGCCAAGTGCGGCTGCAGCCATCGACCATCGGTGGACCTGGCTACCATGCCGCCTTTATACGTCCCTACTTTAGGGCCAAGGGCAGGGGTCACGGCGCCGGCTCAACATTGTTGCCAACAATAAATTCAAAACCGGTGGAGGGACAGGAGCACCAAAGAGGAGCAGGAGCTGGGCAACCAATTGATACTGCCCCACTCCAGGCAATGGGTTTGCTCTTTGAGCAGGGCCTGCAGCCGACCACTCCACCGACGGGCGAATGCGGCCGGCTTATAAAGCTATTCGAGCCGCTGGTCATATACTGTCTGACGGTAAGTGCACTTCGAGAAATGTGTCTCATATTTAAAACATAAATTATCATTATTAAAAAGGGTGTAAGCTTGGATACTGACATGAACTCGAGTTATTTTTGAATAAACATATGTTTAAACCTTTTAATCGCCTATTTATAGCTAAAATTCATAGTTAAAATTTAAAATCACAATGTTTTGGTAAATTTAACCCATTTAGTATCAATAATCTAATATTCTTTATATTTACTTTACAACTATATGGAATCGATTTTTATTGTTTCCTTCTACTACTTAAAATGGATTCCCACTTTTTCCGACTGTAAAAACGCAACGGTGGCTAGCGATGGCTAATTAATTTTAGTTGTAGCCAATTTGTTTGATTAAAAATGCACAGACACGAATACTGACCATCCTGGGGAGCAGTCCTTAATCTGCTACGTGTGTGGGTGTGCATGTATGCGGGTGGGTTCAAAGTGCAACCATTGATATTTTATTAATGGCAAAAATTTGCCGACTACTTGTATTCCTGCATGTTACATATTCCCTTTCTCTTCGTTCATCCTCTCTTTCAGCTCTTCATGAAATCCAATGCGCTGGTTCAGGCACCCATACTGCGATTGCTCTCCCAACTGCTGGAGCTAAATGTAACCTATAGTATACTGGACTCCAAGAATGTAATATTCGACCAGATACTGAGCAACATGGATCTGATTGAAAGTGGAATAGATAGGTGAGTAGAGCACATATACAATGGATTATTCTAATAATAAAATATGATGTTCGTTGTTAATTATGATGCTATATAATTTTGTGTACTTTTTAAATGGCTCTTCCAGGAACGCCTTCATCATTGTCCCGCCCATGCTCAGATTCCTTGTGCAGCTAACCCATAAGAGCGACCGACAACTGATCACCATACCCAAGATCATCAGCATTACCAACAATCTGCTGGCCAACGGATCTGTGCGCGAGGTGGCTTTGCTAGCCCTCAAGACCCTCAGCTACGAGCTGTTCTTCATGCACAGCCAGCTGGAGGAGGCACTGGACACGGAGGGCCATAACTCAGGTCGAGCGGCGTGCCAGAGTCCTTTGAGTGCGGCCCCCACACCGGAAACTCGAGAGGCATTGCTGGCGCAGCGACGCGAACTGGACACCCAACGGGAAGTGGTGCTGGGCATGCTGGAGAAATTCATCGAGGCACGACCGAGTCAACAGGTCCTGGCCCTCCTCCTGCTCTTCGAGCGGAGTGTTCAGCAACTGGACACGCCACCATACCACCGAAGTGCCCAGGATGCGGACGCCGTGTACGGGATGCTGTGTCGTGGCTTGTGCTCGCGCCAGTGGCGACTCCACTCCGCCGGAGATCTGCGGCTCCTGGAGAGCTGTTTCCGCAACAACGGCAACCATGTGCTGGCCGACAGCAAGGGATTCCTGCAGCTGCTGCAGCTTTTCATCGAGCAGGTGGGTTAAATATGCAGTGGCCTAAACCTGACAAGCTGCCCGTCAGGAGCTCAATTAAGGCCTGCGCATTAAGACTCCGGCTCCGGCAGATCCACCACTGTCTGCCGTTTCCGTCCGTCCGTCCGCTCTCTCGATTGAACTCATAAATATGCGAAATGCCTGTTTAAATATACATGCCCGCACACACTTCGAGGCGTCAGGAAATTTGTAATATTTATGAATGCAGACAGAAACTTAAAATCCCGACCCGACATGCAAATGAACATAAAGCTGTCTATCAGCCGCCGGTTTGGCAAGCTGCCAATGCAAATGACATATGAATGTCCTGAGTAGGTGTCATCGGGCGTGCCTGGCATGCACTTAATAATATAATTGAAGTAATGCCACAAATTACAACACTCTCAGTTTGGCAACGATGGCCGTGCGACTTAACTGGTACTTAGGGCCGACGCCTGCATAAATTGAACTCGATGACATCAAATTGCCGTGCGTTGGCAGATGTTCAATGTTCCTAAGATGACGAACGATTTGCATTCATTTCTCGGGCTTCCATCAAAGAGTTAAAGCGGGAAAATACATGTGTGCACAAAGGAGTTAACCAAACACCTGTAGGCCCCCATCTCGAACCCTCGAAGCTCATCAACGATTTGTCATTGCCGGTCCGTTCGGTCGTCCGTTCAACCCTTCCCATTCTCATTCCCATTTACATACACACGAATGCACTTAGTTGCAGTTACGGGGCAATTTTTTATTTGGCCCTGGTGTTTCTGTGTTGCTGTTGCCACTGCTGTTGCTGATCCATGTGGCGCTGTAGTTAATGTGGCACATGTCGTATACGTGACATTTTTAATACCTACGCTTCAACGCCGCACATTTTCAACTATTAATGCGCATTTAAGCTACACATGCATTAACTGTCGCGTAGGGTCTGCCTGCCATGCAGCCCGTGCCTTTAGGGCCAGCCACGCCCCACCCCATCCCACAAGCCACCCATTCCGCCCCCACATAGACCAGTCAACCGTTATGCTACAGTTAAAACCAACTTAATTACAGAGTCTCACTAGCACAGCTGGGCGTGTGTTGGTTCAACGGGCGGGTTCTCGGGGTTTTCGAGTCGAGTACTTGTCGTAGGCAGTCAATTGCTTGTGAAGACTCCCGTGCATCCACGTGTCTAACGGCTATGGCCGCTGGTCACCCCATGAAATCGTCCCATTCCGCCCCATCATCTCATCCTCCCAAATCGCTCGTATTAATGGCGACCTGACACTTTACTGCCTTGGGCAATTCAACTTCACTTAGCTTGTAAGTTATGCGCACAGCTTAAAAACTTTAACTAATTATCGTTTATTTAATTTGGACATGTATAAAAAATAGCTGAGATGGGTAGAGAAATTAACAGAGTTTTACGCAGTCTTCGCCACTCAGGTGGCATGAGTAATTAAGTTTGGTCTGGCCTTCCACTCGTGTTTGCTGGGGTATTTTTAGGTGGGTTACAGGGGGATACAGGATGCAGGTGACTAGTTTATGGAAGCAGCATTTTAATTGAAATTGAAATTGCGCCGCAACTTAAATAACATTCTGCGTGTAAACATTGACTCGAGGAGGCAAAAAAAAAGCTTATTTAAAATATGTATGCAGCCAGCGGTCCGAGGAGCAAATGGAATTGCATTCGCCACATGTGCGCAGGATGGAGGGGCTGGTGGGTCCTTTCTAATTACTGCCGGAAAATATGTTGATGTTGGCACTGGCAACTTTGTCACACAAATTTATGCAAAGTTTCACACTTTACTGCACTGGCGGTCAACAACGAAAGGAGTCATCAGCCAACGAACTTACATATCTTTTTCATTTTTCTCCTATTTTCGTTTTTAGGGCGTCGGGAACTTTGGTGATTTAGCTCTGGCCATGGTTATGCTTGCCAACGTAATACTAAAAACCGAGGAAATTTATCTGGTGAATCACATAAAACTTTATTTGAAAAATAATCCCACGGCCGAGCGTCGTCTGCAGGCCATGATGCCCAGCTCATCATCGGCGGCTCCACATTGGCAGGACGAGGCTCCTTCGACGTCTTCGGCGGCTGCAGCTGCCAGAGCGGCCGCCACCGCTTCCTCCTCCAAGGGATCGACCATCAGCGAAATTAACTATTTTGCCAAAGTTCTTAGCGAGAAGCTACTTGCCTGTTTGGATGCAATACTGGGCCTGGATACCGGCTCCTCCTGCTCCTCCTCCGTGGGCCACGCCTACTGCCAGCTAGCCGGGCGCTTCGTGGACGCCCTGCTCAACGTCTGTTGCCGCTCGCGACACAAGGATGCACTTCAATCGGTTTTCCGTTTGGTTTTGGCCGAGTCTGAATTTCTCTGCAAATACTATAGCCTGCTGTTGATGAGTGCCGCGGGCCAGGGAGGATCCGGCTCACTGGATGCCGTGTTGCTCGCCTGCCTGAGGCTGGTGCTGTCCATGCGGCTGGAGGAGCCGGTGGCCCTCATGGAGCAGGCCGCCCAGCTGCCGCTGAAACGAAACTTGCAGCGGGCGTTGCTAGGCGAAGTTTGTCGTGCAAATGTGGTAAGCAAACTGAGAGAAAAAATTATTTAAGTATTAAATCCCAATTAGGGGAAGATTGTGTTGTATTAAAAACATTAATTTCAAGACAGTTTTCTAAATATCATATCGCTTCTTATTTTGAGAATTTTTTTAAACCAATTTTTTTTATTACAACAAAGGCTTAGACTTAATTTACAATTAGTAATAACAAAATTATTTTAAATATTTTTTTATAATTTCTTTAAATACTCTTTCTTTTTTAACATATTTTACTAAGCTTAGTTAAGAGAGGGCAAGGGCAATATATTTGACTTTTTTTAAAATAACCTCAATTCAACGAAATTTTACAATAAGTGTTTAAGTTTCCACGGAAATATCTTTTCATTTAAAAAGTCTAGAATTTCCCAGACTATTTGTTAGGAGACTTGTTCTCCCAGTGTAGCTAAGTAAAGAGAGGGCAGCGGAGTAATGGCAAATCAGACACATTAGTTTAATTTGAATTTGGCAGACGACAGCGTTGCCGGGCCGCCAACCCCTAAATCCTTCTGAATGCCCAAACCCAAACCCAAACCATATACGACAATGCGAATTTTTCCAGCTGACAGTTGTCGCACTCGCAATTTTGTGGTTCACCGCATCGGGTTTTTGGTTTCGGCTTTCGGTTCACTGTCCCGCCGGCGACAGTGAGCCTTTAAACGGTTGGCTTACTTTAAGCACAGTTCATTGGCGGGCATAATTTTAAATGATTGCCACTCGAACATGCGCCACTTGTTGGCTAATGGCACAATCCCAATCTCCAACCCCATCCTCCGTTAACCCATGAACAAATCACGATTGTCCACTAATTGCAGGGCTGCGATTGGAGTGCGCAACAAGTGCGCCGCTTGTTCGACGGCAGGTATCTGAATTTCCTAATTGCTGACCACTTGGAATTCCTTTGCGAGCTATGCCAAGAGCGTCCCGAGTGCGGCTCATTACTGCAGGTGGCCTTGTTCCGGAATGCCCATCGATTGAGCAGGGTAAGTTGCCCGAGTTGAGACTCAGGACTTTTGCATAACAAAGCTTTTGTGTGTTCGCCCTTTCATCCGCCATGTCCCCTTGTCCCCTTTTTTCCGATCCCCTCCAGCAATCCATTCGCATCGTCCTTCGGCTATTGGGACGTCTTTGTGAGACCGCTGAGCGGGAGGCCTCTGGAGATGCTGGCAGCGATGCGGATCCCACACTGCAGGCCCTGCAACTGCTGAGTCGCCTGCACCAGCTGCACGAGGGGGAACGCTCGCTACAACTGCCCATGGAGCGGTTGGCACGACGACTGAGCGCCCAGAGCAGCCCGGCCGCCAGGAACTCCATCTACGAAAGGCTGGTCGAGGGAGATCTGGCCGGCGGAGAGGACCAGGACGCCCTGCGAACCCTGCTGTAAGTAATTCCCCTGCAATTATTCATCCCACGCAATGGAAATTTATACTCAGTTGATTACATAGCTGCATGGTAGGGTGGATCGATTAAGGGTGACTTGAAAAATATAGTATTATACGTAGGAAACAATTAAGTACAACGAACTATCATAAGATCATAAGACAATCATAAAGAAAGTCCTATTTTTCGGATCATTTACTAACTGAAATTAGAAAATCCATAAAAAAAACGATTAGTATTTGATATTTCCTCTCCCCAATTTAGATAATTATAAAAATTTTCCATCAATTTATTGGATAAATTAAAAAAGATAGATAAATAAAGCAGCCAATGGTCATATTAGTCATCAGAATTTATCATTTACTGGAAAAGTAAGATGGGTAATAGTATCTAAAGACCATTTCCTTCATTATCAAAATGTAATACAAAAAAATGCAAACCACCCTTGTGAAAGTGGTGTCCCTTCCTTTGCTTAACGAGAACCCGCTAAAAGCAAACCGAAGAGTACTCCAAGTTCGGATCAGCAGACTCTCATTATCCTTGATGCTTTTATTTATGTTTCATTGCTTCGCATCGCAGACTGAAGGACTTGGAGTGCCGCCAGGACAATGAGACTGCAACGCCGTCGCGCATAATTGATGAGAGCTGGCTCTTTGCTCAGGTAAATGGGACAAGCACTCGGCCATTATGGCACTGCCACAGCTAATTTGTTGTTCTTTTCATCCTCCTTCCTCCTGCTGCTCCTCCTCCTTCTCCTGCTCCTCATCCTCGACTCCTTTGACAACATTTTTCCACCACCACCACTATCGTCCGCCCACAGCTAATCAAATTCGCCACCCAGCATGCAGATGCTCCGCAGCAGCAGAAGCAACTAATGCTGCTGCTCCTGGAGATCCAGTCAGAGCCCAAGCTGCAGCGCCTGCTCCGGAGTCTGGGCGCCGAACAGGAGGCGAGGCTGTTGCGCCACGCCATCTCCGGTTCACTGGCCGCCATGATGTCCGCCTTCCGGCAGAAGTGCATCCAACATGCACCGCACATCAACTACATCCAACCGCCGCCGCTGGCTCGTGTATCCTGCTCCCTGCTCCTGGCAAAGGTGGCCTCCATTGAGGCCACACAACATCGGGCACCGCCCACCGGAGAGCAACTCGATGTGGCCCGTGCGGTGGCCACACTGATGGCCTGCATTCGGAATGTGGAGCAAACAGCACTCATCTACATTGATGCCCGGCTGATGGAGAAGTTCGTGGTCGAGCACCTGCTGCGCCCCGAGCATCTGCCGCAGTTGCTGGCCTACCTGGGCTGGCTGGCCGGTACGGCCAAACAGATTTTGGCCAAGCCAACACCACAGGAGTCGGAACAAGACGCTCTGGGCGTTTTGCTTGCGACCGTGGATGCTCTCCTGCAGCAGCCACGCGTTTGGAGGGAGCTTAACTCCAGCCCGGATCCCGGACTGCGATGCGAATTGCTCGACCTGCTGGACTCGGTGGCCCGGTGCATTCTGCAGGACACAATTTTCTATCGACGTCACCGAACGGACAGAAAGAAGGCCAAGGGACCGGCACCGCAGGCGATTTTCCTGGCCAAATTGATTGAAACGCAAATTGAAATCGAGTCTCTGGACAGCGGCAGGGTCTTCTTGGCAGGCGCCGAGGATGCTCGACTGCAGTTCGCAGGACAGGACCTGGCCCGCTTCCAAGTGGCATTGGTAAGTGACATTCGCTGGCCATTTGTCAGTCCCACCCAGGAGCACTTTCCATTTTCTTTCCCCCTTCCCAGTCGCTGGTGGCATCCATCGGCATCTCGCTGCTGCGAACGCACCAGTTTTATGCCTACGCGGTCACTCCGCACGAGCTCATCAGGCAGCCAGAGGAGCAGCTGCAGCAGCAGAAGCAACAGGCCGATGGCAAGCTGCCCTCCATTCCTGTGGACAGCCTGAGCGATGTGGATATCCTGCGTCAATTTGTCAAGAGGTGAGTGTGAGTGTGAGTCGGGGTGAAATACGGAGATCCTTAGAAGGTGCAAAGACATCTATTTTTTAAAGAGTTCAAGTTTAATTGAATTGGAGAGAAGATATGGAGATCTTTAAAGAGATCGAGTTCAATAAAACCGGTTAAGGACCTTTTTCTCGTCCGAAAAATATAATAATATATATATAATACACGAGAAAAACGGCCCTTAAAATAGCAAACTGTATGCGATTCATATTCTAGCTTAAACCAGCGATTATTTGAGTAATTTACATGGGCAGCCTTTACATACTGTGCGTGTGGCGGCAGACAATGTTTCCGAAGTTGCCTAACACTGGTGATTTATTAATATAAAGTTTACATAATTGTGGGATGTAATTCAATTACAGCCTGAAAATCAATGTTTCCTGGCTTCCGCCCTATTAGTGACCCATATAATAGGAAATGTGATGCCTCCAAGTCCTGCTAATTAAGTCCGTTTATCTTTTGGGTCACACCTTACACCAGTCAAGTTATGAGTCCCTCACCTTGCCGGTAGGCTTCATTGTCCGTCTGGTCAACTGTCGCTTCCCTTATCAATCGGCCAGGCTCTGTTGCATTGTCCAGGCTGTGGGTGTTGCTGTTGCTGTTGCTGCTGTCGTTGTCATTTTGTCCAGCGACAACAACAACCAGAGCGGTAGCAACAACAACAAAGTTGCTGACAATGCTCTGACAGCGTTGACGAGCGCATGGCAGCTACATGGAGCGATGATGAGGACGCAGCGACGGCTAAACCGCAACTGGAAACATCAACATCCTGTTGTTCTATTGCAAACACAAGCACAAATCCAAACATCGAAACAACCAAACATCCGCACATATGTACGAGAGTGCGGGCCGTAAGACTTCATTGTCATCGTCATTGTCCTTGGCTTGTTTGCCTCGTCCTCGTCCTCGTCCTCGTCCTCATCCTTGTCCTCGTCCTTGTCATTTGACAGGCTCCGGTTCCCGCTCCTACTACTGCTCCTACTCCCCGTTATAGCTATTGCTATAGCTCCATTGTTTCGATGGCAGTCGTCATCATTACGCTGTCAGCTGAAGGCTGAAAGCTGAATCGTCATCAGCCAGGAATTGGGCGGAATAATTGTACACGGCTAGATGTCTGTGGCAGTGGTTGTTTGGTTGTCCGGAGCCTAAAACTTGACTTACCCCACTGCCAGCCGCCCTCCGCCCCTCCCCACCCCAAAAAGCATGCATACTTGCACTCCACTCGCACTTTGTCGCCCCAGCCGGCGGAGCCAATCCAGTGCTGGCTTTTGGCCGACCGACAAGAGCACAAACATCAAAACCACATCAGCAGAGGAACCATGGAACCATGGAACCAGGCAGCCAGGGAGCAGCAGCTTCAGCGCGGAAAGCTGCGAGGATGATAACGACAAAATCCCCAAAGGGCTGACGGAGCGGAACATCAACAACTCCATTAGACGAAACTCTGCGCAGGATCAGCATCAGCATCGCCGGCATCGCTGGCATCACCATGCATTTTGGCCAGGAGGGAATGGCTGTGGGGGGAGGGGGGGCTTGTGGGGATGTCGGGGAAGGATAAAAGCTGGCTAAAAGACACAGCAGGAAGAGCCGCCGTCGAGGCAGCGAGCGATATAAACAAATTATGAGCAGCAAAGTGAGATAAATGCATGTGTGCGTGTTGCAGATGGCTGCCAACAAAAGGCACACGTCATGCCAGGATGCGGATGTGGATGCGGATCCGGATGCGGACGGCTGCCTTTGCCCCAGAAACATTGTTGCTAATTGCACAGAAACCACCACGATGCACAGCATCACCCGGGGCTCCCTTCGAAGGGGGATTGAGCTATTGGAGCTACCGCTTCACCGACTGCCTAAAGTAATCGAAGACTAATTGACATTTTAGGCCTGCTCACTACGCACTTTATACGTGTACATATATATATGTAGATTTACCATCATGTATATTGCATATTTTAAATATTTCAAGAGGCCAGGACTAATTGAATTAAAATTTCAAGCATTGGCTGAAAACATTTTATGCAGAAATTTCCAATTTTCAATTAATTACTTTACTTACACATACACAGTATACACACACAAACGCACAGGGGCAGCCTGTCGTAATTAAATTGACACTCATCATAGCCACTCTGGATTCCAGGCTCTCCATCTTTGGATTCACCACCCGGCAGCAGTTCGAGGAGTACTTCATGACCTGCCTGCTGCTGATCAATAAGCAGTACGATGAGCACATGGTCGATCAGCAGGAGCAGTTCCAGATCAAGCAGGTCTGCCTCCAGGCCATCCTCGAACTTTTAATGACGTACAAAACTTTTCCCATTGTGGGCCAAACCAACGGACAGTTCCATCACACGACTCGCTGGCACCGCATCACTTGTGACAGCATTAGGTGAGTTCGGGTTCCGGTTCGGGATTGGTATGGGGATAGGGATGGGGTTTGGGTTTGGGTGTGGGTTTCGGTAGAAATTTATGAAAATTAAAATTCACAGAGCAGCAGCAGCAGTGGGTAAAGTTTTTAATGTGTAAATGGCAAAAAGCACAAATTAAATGCGAACGGAACGAACGATGGCCGAAAAGTTGAGTCTGTGAATGAGCGTGTATATCCTGATTTTGTGCTGTACTGGGTGTTCTGCCGCCACACACACATTATATCGTTCCCCATTACGAAAAAAATCCTTCAACTTTAAATGCACAACTAATTTGTTAACATGGGAGCGGGAAAAAACAATTTGGTAAACAAGTTTTCGGATGCTTTTACAATGTCTGCGTTTTTAATTAAAAGCGACAAAAAGTCTTTGTCGGTGGTACCACGAATATTGCATATATGGCATGACGTGAGCACATGAATTATGAAAATAATTTTAAAAGTTAACGAGTGCCAAACTCTTTTTCATGTCTCCTGGTCGTCGACGCGATTCAATTGCCTGGAACGGCAAAAATATGGGCTAACAACAAAAAAAGGGGTGAAACTGAAGCTGAAATATCAGAAACTCTGTTGACAACCCCTAGGAAATTTGTGGAAAATACATATTTTTCGTATTAGCTGTGGGTAACACGAAACTCTGACAAATCCCTGTCGCCCTGACTGTTGACTTTATAAATTAGTTTTTAATTACAAGCAAATAGTTTTTACTTGCCATTTCTGCTGCTCTGTCAACAGTGCGTATGCGCCATATAATCGATGGGGGGGATAGAACGGGAGGGGCTTCCTTATCGCCAGCCGACAAACCGACCATTTTCCCACACATATTCCATATCCATCATACTTTGCAGCCTGAAGAAACTGCACAAGGTTCAGTTGCTGGTGGATGCGTGCAATGTCTTCTATCAGCCCAATCTCGAGCGGCAGCTGGCGGCCCAGGACAATGTGATTGGCACACGCACCTTTGCGGCCAATCAGTACGATCTCAATTTCAGCTGGGCGCAGATGGAGGAGCAGGCTGGCGGGGGAGTGGCAATGGGAGTGGGCGTGGGCGTACCAGGAGGAGGAGAGCCAACCAACACGGCGGACATTAAGCAGTCCGGCGATGCGGATGTGCCCGACATGGCAATGCGCAACTATCGCCATTTTACGCAGCTGTCGGGAATTGACTTTCGCAGCAGCACGCAGCTGGTCTTTGACGTACTGCAGCAGATGATCGAGGTGAGTCCCGTCAAACTTTTGCGGCAGTCACGTCCTGTGCATTGCCAGCATTCGCACATCGCATGCCCGCCATTCGATGGCTTTTAATTTGATTATGCAAGCCGCTTGGCGGACATTACTGCTGTGCAGCTGAGTGTGTGTGTGTGCTTCTGGGGGTGATCCTTTGGGGTTTGCCCAGCTGGCAGTGATTTAATTTGCAGCTGCAACTTGCCATAACTCTTTTCCAAATTTCGTTCCATCGCTCCATCGCTCCATGACAGCTGAATCACATCCTGGTGCTGCCCAATTTGGTGAAGTTCTGCGAGATCTGCGAGAGCCGCGACCACATCAAATGGATTAAGGAGCGCTGCCTTAAACTGCAGGAACAAGTGCCCATGGACGATACCATTTCCCATCAAGTAAGTACATGTTTACACTGTGAAAAGTTATCAAAAGTATGAAACAAGTTGTAAACCAAGGTTTGGTTCTATACATTTTGCTTGAAAATTGCCATTTTAAAAGTAGAAAAAAAACGTGCAAAATATAAAAACTCTGTACAATTATATAATATTTATAAACTTTTTTTGCAATACTTAAATGTGGTTAGATTCTCCAAATTGTTTCATTGTATTTACAAAAATTAAGTAGCTCAATTTTGTGGCTCCCTTAGAAATGTAACCACTTTTTTATTCTTTAATTTTTGCAAATATTTTTTTAAGTAGTACCTGTTGAAATTTGTTACAATGCTTCCCTTTTGCAACTTTCATGTTACTTTTTCCTCCGCAGCACCCTGCCATTCTATTGTTTTCGATGTTAATGCCCTCCGTACTTTGCAGCACATAATCTACTTACTGTGCCGCAGCCAGGCCCTCCTGATCCCCAGCCTGGGCGAGCTGCAGGTCCTGTGCTCCTTGATAGGCAACGTCTACTTGAAGAGCACGCACAGCTTCATACGCATCGCCACGCTGCAGGGGCTGCTCTGCCTGCTGGAGTGCTGCAGCAAGACCAACACGACAATGGGACGGCTCAGCGAGGAGTTGGCATTGTTGCGAGCCCTAATTGTGGGCTACATCAATCGTCATGGCATCATTGATGAGAGGTGAGCCCGGAATTGGTACAGGAAGTAGGAGGTCTTTGATATAGGAAGCCGGCTTTCGGATTTTGGATTCTGCAGTCCATAATTTGCCTCTCTGCGCAATTAAGAACCCCTCATCTAGCTGGTCCGTCGGTATTATCAGTCTGTTTGCAGTACCCTCGGATTGAATTGAAAGTGGAACTTACCTGGTACCATCTTGAATTGAAACTCATCAACTTGGGGGATGGCTCTGCGGGTCCCGTTCCAGATTCGAACTCCAGCTCCTGCTGCTCCCGGCATGTCTATATCTGTTCCACAGATCCACTCACTAATGGCAAAAGTTCTCATTTCGCATTAGTTACCTCGGCTCATCGGCATCTGGGCGCTGTGGTCTGATGTTCTGGTGGTGCTGCTTCTGTTGCTGCTGCTCCTGGTGATTCCACCTGCCCGCCACCTCTTTCTGTTTAGGGTGTTATCAAAAAGTTTTCAAGGACTGCGCCGGAAGCAGTCACACCCTCCCGCCCTGTAAAGGATATCCAGGCAGAGGAAGTTGCCATAACTCGACAACGTGCAGAACATCGATGAACCATGGCCATTGAAACTTTTCGCCGCTGCTCTCGATAGATTTTCCAAAGTCAAACCCAGCCTCTGATCAATGGAGCCATGGTGCTGTTCATGTTTGCCTTGCATTTGCTTGTTTATGCTCTCCAGTAAATTCTAATTATTGGCTGAGCAGCTGCCGCCAGCTCGTTCGCGGCTTTTGATGGAATTTCATATACTGCACCACCTTGTTTTTGCGTCTTTTGACAAGTTTCAGCGCCGAAACTTGTGCTGTTTAAACCTTGAAGGAAATAGCTTGAATTCCCCGTTTGGCTTTGAGAAGAGCAAACAACTTTTATTGCGCATACGCAGCGTATGCAAAACCAATATGCCAAAACCTCAGTGAAAATTGCAGCTCCAGCAGCAGCGGCGGCGGCAGCAGTAGCACCACTGGTCATAAAATCAATGGATGGCCCCTGCATTTGGGAGGCACGACCACGGCAACTAATCAGCGTGCTGGCGGAGCTCCCACACCACCGCCCCTTCCGAACTAATTATTTTGTAATTTTAAGCGCGAAAAGCAATAAGGGAGTGGGAGGAGCTGCCTGTTTTGGCCATTGGCCACGGCATCACCATCGCCAACGCCATCGGCGGATGCAATTCTGCGGTCGTCAGACTTCTAATTAATTTAGATGGAAACATGCCGGGAGCAGCAGCGGAATCACTCTCCTCGATATCCCCGATATAGTTTTACAATCCGCTGGTCTAAACATTTCTCGGTCATCTCTTTTTTTTTTGCAGCCCCCTGCCGTTCAGCGTGGAGCACACGAAGCTGGTCTGGACGCTCAATTACAGCCTGATCGAGTGGACATCGAAATTCGTGCCGCAATGTCATCTGTTGTCAAATACAATCATTGCGGCCAACAATTTCCTGAAGACGACCGGCGACGAGGAGCTCTATCTATGCGTTCTGCATGTGAGTACGGAATCGGAGTAAGGAGAGAACTCAGGGATCTGGTGCATAGAGAAGGCAGCGTGGAAGGACTTAGCATGCCACTTAAATGGTTGTCAGCCTTGTCTAGCCGCCATCAGGCCACTTACTAACTGTCAGCCGACTGGCGGGCCAACAAATCTGACTGCCATCGACCGTGGGGAAAGCCTCTATCCCTTGACTGGTGTGGCTTAGTCCACGTCGTCCACGGCCGTGCAGTCCACGTTGCGCTTAATTGGTTTTTTGATTGACAATTTTCAAACGGCAACGGGAATGTCAGGCGGACGGAGGAGGAGGTGGTGGAGGCGCCAATCCCCAGCGAACCTCTAACCGCAACCAGTGCTGTCATAACTGACGGAGAAGCCATGGCCAATGGAGGAGCAACAGAGCCAAATGTTTATTGGCCTGGCCAGTTGGTCAATTGGTGACCGTTTCCAAATTGAGCGTAATGAAAAAGTGTAGAGCATTTTGTTTTTAAACGCTGCGCGCTTTCTGTCTGTCTGCCATATAAAAAGAAATTCCTCAGTTGGGCGAAACGAAACGAACGTAATTTGCCCCGCCATTTAATATAGAGTTGAGATTTTAATTGCAGTTTACGAGTATATGGCGAGCAGCAAGTAATTAAAAACTGTTTTTGCACTGCATACTTCCGGTTGTCCGGTTCGTTCGGACGAAAATTAAATTCGACTTTTTAAGCAATTTATGAAATTTGCACGCAATTCAATTGTGCCATTTTGTTGCTGTTGCTGGATGCTGTGTCCTTGTTGTTGCCTTGCTGCCTTTTGCTTTGATGGCCGCACTCAGGATCCGAATCGCCACCAGAATCAGCATCATCATCATCATCATGATGATGATGATGAGCGGTGGAGAAAGCGGCGAAAGCGGGAGAAAGCGCAATGGCGCGCAGCGACAACAGCGGCCATAACAATAACAATTTGCCACTCAATTAGCGTGGCCATTACTGAAAAACCCACTTAAGTATGCAATGATAAAAATTCAAAAGCGAATCGAGAGCCGCCGCATTGCTATTTCTATGAGCTGTTCTCCTCCTCCCACCATATAGAGGGGGTATATATACATATTGCTTATTGTATTTATTTATCTCTTTGTCTTTTTTTCAAATATTTTTTTTTTTTGTTTTCCAGGGCCTGGAGCGCATGGTGGTCAATAGCGGAGTGCCGTCTCCTGGTGGCCCACAGCCTACTGGCAAGGAGAAAACGGCGGGTGAACTGGCAGCCGGAACCGGAGGAGCCGCTGGAGGATCCGAGGCGGCAGTTGGAGTCGTGGTCACACCGCAGATGCGACATAAAATTGAAAAACTTGCACTCGAATTGCTGAAAATGGAAAATGAGAAATTTTCGATTCCGGCATTGAAATTGCTTTTGTCCTGCATGTATGTGGGTGAGTATTGGGGCTGAACTCCAAGGAAAATAACAAAAATAATACCAAGATCAAAAATAGGGGAGCCAGTAAATGGAGGGAAGCTGGCTGGGGTGGTTCGGAAATATTTTGTAATTTCATTTAATGCCGCATGGGCCGCGAACGGGTTCTGTTGTTATAAGAAAATTGAACAAAGGGCAAGTGCGTTTTTGTGTGGGTTGGAAATGGAAATGGCAAGCCGAAATTCCCAATTTCAAATGGAAGAGAGAGGAGCTCGCAATTTTTAAGGAAAGGAAAACATCCTGACAGGCGGGTGGCATTAGTCCAAAGGACACTCGGGCCAAGTGAACTTTATTCTCTTTACGCGCCCCAATATCCTTTATTTGGCTGCTGCCACGTCCGATTTCCTGAGTCCACTGTCCCATTTTAAATGCGCTCGCCAGGATGGGATGAGATGAGATGGGAGGTGGTCATGGTGCACTTTGTGTGTTTGCGGGTCAACAGTTTGGCGCTGATCATTATGGCCATGAATGCATTGGGCGTGCGAATGCGAATGCGGATGCGAGTGTGTGTGCCCTTGCCAGAGAAAGGCTAATTGCTGTCGCCGGCCAGCGGGACACACTCCACCGACTGTTGCTGCGTATCTCTGCCGTCTCTGCTGGCCAACAATTATCCCTGTTGCTGTTATTAGCGCAATTCCAGGACAATTATTATCGTTTCAACTGTCGGACCCATGCACACATGCACACAGGCACACACGCCTGTCATGCGCTCATTTCTCTTGTGCTAAAATGTTAGTTCAGTGGTTTTCGGGGGCACAAGTCCAGTTTTTGGATTGCAATGAGCGTAAATGGGTTTCGGTTTAAGTACAAAATTTATCGGCCATTTGCATAATATTTGTCCACAAGTTACTTTCGCCGGTGGCCTACAAAACTCTAGATAAAAATGTTTATTTTTATGGCCGATTTCTCAATGTCATGTTAAATTTTCTAATTTAACAAAGTTGCTAAGTTTTCTTTCCAAAAAATGTAACATTAATGTTAACCTTAAGATAACATTGAGAAATGCATTTGCTAAGAATTAACTTCAAACTAAATTAAAAAAAAAACTTTATGTTAGCTTTAACATGACATTGAGAAAGCAGTTCAAATTTAAAGACAATGTTTTGAAACTTAAATCATCTCACATATTTTTCTTGAATGCTTTTCTTTATAAACAATTTAACTTCATTATAGCCTTGACATGACATTGAGAAATCGGTTAAAAAAGCTAGTTTTTTTTGTGGAATTCCAGACACCTCACATAGTTTTCTTAAAAGCAGAAAGGTTTCTAAAACGCCTACTATTTACTAAGTACACCCCCTACCAATGAAAGTGTAGAGCCCCAGAAAAGTGCCAGCTTAGAATGCAGCTTATGCCACAAGGGTTCTCATTCTTGCTTAGTTCATTAGCCGGCACTGTTGTTTAAAGGTACCTATGGAAATCGCACCGATGCGGGTCAGTCGTAATCCGCTCAGTCTCGTTTCATTTAACATCCCAAGCCAATCGATTCCTTTGCTCCACCACGTTTTCTTCTCCTCGTTCTCGTCGTTTTGGTTCTCTAACGAGAAAAAATAACAGCCGTCAAATAGGAAAATACAAGAAATGGAAAACTTGCTTTGGTTTTTTCCAAACTCTGGCTTTGGGATGTGCCTGCTCCCCCCACTGATTCAACCCATTCAAACTGATGTGCGTGGCAACTTAGCACAGCTTTCGACGTGGCCACTCCTGGCCAGAAATTATGCAAGTCGGTCCACAAATATGTCGAAGAATGCCCGCGGCCGGGATGCATGTGTAGGTGAAATTGGAAGTGGTGCGTTGCGTATTTGCCGTGCACTTTGTCAGTGCGCAGGATTGCCGACTGCTGAGTCCCTTTTGCCATGGCCACAGCACGCAAATCCTTTGAGAAACGTCAATGTTTGTGTAGCAGCCCATTCGCGATGCTTACTTCTGCCACTAAATGGCGGCGGCTGCCTCCGATTTTCGGGTCCTTCCAAAACACACACACACACACATATATACCATACACCCTCACAAATCCTGGCTTGGGCGGAAATGGGGGGGAGGAACGCATCCTAGCGGAAGTTGGCCATTTCTGGGCACGCTTTTTTGCTCTTTTTCCGCCTGCTTGCTTTTTTAAAGCGCTGTGGCTCCACGCGAAAATAAACAAAAGACCGCGTCGCCAAAGACAATACAGGTTGCCCTTGCTTCAAACCAAAAAAAAAAATGTGGAGAGTGAAGGCTTAAAAAAGGAGCAAAGCAGCAAAATAGGGAAAGTCGGTACAGAAAAAAACGTATATACATTTGCCCTCAAAGTTGCAAAACGCAATAATAAATATTTGCGGCAATATTGGTCACCCAGTTGGTGGAAAATTCTTTCAGGGAAAAAGACCCAGAAAGCCTTCGTACAGAAGACACCCTTTAATAGATTGAATTAGGAATGATTAAGTTAAATGTTTTATAAAAACAAGGGACCGATTTCTTAATGTCCCGTTAAGGTTTTAGGTCTTCCAATAATAGGTAAACTTTTGCTCGTAAGTCCAATTAACCAGAACCTAACATAATATGGAGAATACAAATGTTTCGAATCATCAATATAACACAACGACAAAAGTAAACAAGACATTCAGAAATCCATCCTAAAATAAACAATCAGAATGACTAATCTTTGCATAAAATGTATATAATTTGCATAATAAATAAATCTTCATAATGGGTGGTAAAACATTTAAGTAGGTATAAATTATTCGTTTTATTGTCCTTCTTGATTATGGAATAGCCTATGTTAGCCTGTTGTTTTTTATAGTAATACATTTTTTTCTCTAGCCTGGTTTTGCTTAAACGAATTTTAGAGTTTGTTAGGTTTTTTCGTATATTTTTTTCGTGCATTGCCTGCGGCATTCGTGGCGCGCATAATTGTGGCCAGGCGCTGGGCCACGCCCCCTTCCGCTCTCTTCCGCCCCCACTTGGTGGCTTGGCCATACTTCATCCCCGTTCAAAAGCCTGCAACAACAATGCCAAAATTGGCAACAGCCAGCCAAACAAGCTGCCCGCAGGCCAACAGCCACGACCAACAATGTTAAGCTGCAAAACAAAGGCCAAAGCCAAAGTTGGCGCGGCCAGAAGGCGGCTGAGCTGGGTTATGGAAGGTGATGGTTATGCCGGGGTTATGGGGCGGTTAAGGCGGCCAGGTGGATCAGGTAGCGCTCCACTCGCATTGTAAATAATTCGATGCCGCTAAACCGCACTAAGCAGCGCACACACACAGGCTGTGGCTTTCACCGCTCTCTGGCCACCATCATTTTTCACCTGGCCAAAGGAACGCACATTTATTTGCTGGTGACCTTCCTTTCCCTCGGTTTGCGGGCTTAATCGAACAGCTCTAATCTATGGGTGCTCAGCTTCTGGTTGCGTTTTTTGTTTAGTTTTCAATTTGATGCTTTGGCTTTGGTCATGGGATTGGAAGAGAAAGTTTAGCAAAAAGCGTCAGGCTTCCAAAAAAAAACAAGGAAGAACGCTATAGTCGAGTACCTCGACTATCAGATACCCGTTACTCAGCTAAATAGAGATATGCAAGCAGCAAAGCGAGATTAAAATGCGCCACCTACCGGCGGTATACAGATTTAAGCGTTATGGGCGTTAGAGTGGGCGTGGTAAATTTTTTTTTTTAACCAATCGATAGGTATTGACGAGATCAATACATTTCAGTTAAAATTTTTTATCTAGCATGAAAATTGTGGGCGTCACAGGTTTTCTCGGTTTGTGGGCGTTAAAGTGGGCGTGGCAAACTTTTTTTTGGGTCAATCGATAGGTATTGATGAGAACAATACATTTAAATTAAAATTTTTATTCTAGCATCAAAATTGTAGGAGCCACAGTTTTGGGCGGTTTGTGGGCGTTAGAGTGGGCGTGGCAAACTTTTTTTTGAGTCAATCGATAGGTATTGATGAGAACAATACATTTCAGTTAAAATTTTTATTCTAGCATCAAAACTGTAGGAGCCACAGTTTTGGGCGGTTTGTGGGCGTTGGAGTGGGCGTGGCACTGTGCTGAAACAAACTTGCGCTGCGTAAAAAGCTCAGGAATCTGCACGCCAAATCTCAATAGCCTAGCTCCCATAGTTTCCGAGATCTCAGCGTTCATCCGGACGGACAGACAGACGGACAGACGGACAGACGGACAGACGGACAGACGGACAGACGGACATGGCTAGATCGACTCGGCTAGTGATCCTGATCAAGAATATATATACTTTATGGGGTCGGAAACGCTTCCTTCTGCCTGTTACATACTTTCCGACGAATCTAGTATACCCTTTTACTCTACGAGTAACGGGTATAAAAAGAAATCCATAAAATGTAAATGCAAATTTATGGACGTGTGTGTATCCTGGGATGGGAAAAAAAGGAGTAGAATACCTGTCGTGTGAAGGACCCCAAGCATGTGAATAATGGCCTTTGGCAATGTGCCTTGAAGGCTGCTTTGTTAATTAGAAAGTTTCACTTTCTTCACCCGACCCCCCTTTATGTCTGCAGATGACTTACACATTTTCCCTTTGCTCTTTAGGTTCTGCTGTCCAGCTGGAAAACACCGAGCTGTCGAACGGAATCGTACAGGATGACCCGGAGATAATCGCCCAGCAAAACGATAAAGTCGATATACTTTTGCATTGTATTAAATCATCGACTCGAGATGCCGCCTGGATTTATGGACAAGTGCTGTGCCAAATTATTCGTGATTTAGTGCCACCGAATGAAATATTGACGAAGGTCATAAAGGAGTTTCTGGCCATAAATCAACCGCACGGCGATGTTATTGCCATGATTGTATATCAGGTGAGTGTTGCTGGCCAAAGATCTAGCAAAAGGTAAAGACGTTGGTCTTTCGTGCGTGGTTGTTTGCCTGGTGCGGTTCATTTTACGAGTCCAAGTCCGAATCCGTGTCCAGATCCAGGACCTCCTGCCTGGGGACCGTAACGGAAGGGGGTCAATGCTGCGCTAATGTTTGGCCTGGCCACAAGTCGAAAGGGTAAAACACTCGCCGCCATCTGTGACCAAACATGTGTGTGCGTCTGTGGAATTTTTGGCAGCTTGAAAATTAATGGAATTCATGGCTACAGCTTGGCCCCCGTCCAGGTGCGAGTGGGACTCACATGTGTATGTGGGTCAATGCGAGGAGAAGGCCACCACTGTGGTGCCATAAAATTTTTTCATTAGGTTCAAGGTTAGCCATTCCATTCGGTGGGTGCGTGTGCATGGAAATTAATAAAAACAAGCTCGACACTCACCGGGGGAGTGAACCTGGGGGATCCTGGTTGGCTTGGGATCCCGGTGCGGCACAATTTGCACTGTCATTTGCAGGGTCGGGATTCCCAGGCTGTGGAATTTCATTAGCCAACTTTCTGCCACAAAGTATGCTGCAGACTTTACCCCCACCCCCATCAGTAAAGGCACCTTTCGAGCAGCACAATAAAATTTAATTTCCGTATTGTCGGCTTGGCCTGGCTTTTATTTAACCATTTCGCTGTTCAGCTCTTAACCCGCTCTCCAATCTTCTTTCCCCCTGGCAGGTCTTTCGGTCCGCCATCGACTCGTCGTACCTGCAGATGCTCCAGGACTGGCTGATCTGCACCCTGCCAACGTTCTTGGCCCAGCCGGAGCAGCAGGGTGTCTGGGGTCTCAGCGTCATCTTTTTATCCGCCTCCATAAATCTGCATTTGATTAAACTATTTCCGCTGGTGCTCGGCATCGGGGCATCCAGCTCGATGGCACCAGCGGCGGCGACGGGGGCAACGGGGGCAACAGCACCGGCGATGGCCCGAAAATTGGGTCAACACGAAATTGCATTGTTCGTGACAGCTGCACAAGATTTCCATGCGAAATTGAGTGGCGAGCAGAGGCAGCGTTTCCGCGAGGCCTTCAGCAGCTTCGAGCGGAATCAAGTCTACGGCCGGATGTTGCAGCGTCTCTGAAGCGATACGAGATGACATGATATGGATAAGATACCTCCAACTATTTATCCTTCGTTTAATTCCAATCGCCGTTAAGGAGAAAAATATATTCAGATTGGGCAGCGGCTAAACTTGCCCCAAAGACAAGCGCAAGCGTGAATAACTAATTGCCCCGAGCTGCGGAGAAAGTTTAAACGGATGTCCCTCTTTCACTTCTTCTTCTTCATCTTCAACGCAACTCGCTGGCCCCAGCGTACGGAAAGTTTTTTAATAGTTGGGGAATACAAAATTAATTTATGCTTTACATTATGTGTAACTAATATTTAAATTATTGCAAACGAATGTTCGCCCCTCACTTCCTAATCTGGTAGAAAGTTTAACGAGGCCAGCAAGGCGAGCAAAGGACCCGCAATTAATTCCTGCGGCTTGCCTTTCGACAAGTACCCAGGACCTAGGACCCAGGACACGGAAATTATGTTCTTGTCAGTTTTCTGTTTTTCGGCTAAAGTTTATCATTTATTTATTATGACGCTGCTTGCTGGGCAAGAAATAGAACCAGAACCTTAAACTCAACAAATTGCTGGCTAATTCCTAATCAAAATTACTCTAAAATTCCATTATGCAAAGACCTATACCCCTCAATTGTAATCATAATAATAACCATATTGTTTAATGAAATAAAGTACGTACCATTAAAACGAGTTCAGTAGAGTGTTGTGAATGGGGATGTTTGATTTTTAAAATGCATAAAAGCTGAGCCAAGTACTTTGCCAACTAACCGAAAAATTCGTTTTTTGGATTACTGAACTATATGCAAATCGGTTCGAACTTTTGCGCTTTTACCTGCTTTGCTGGCACATGTAACGTGGCGTTTTCTTCGTTTTGCCGTCTTAACAACAAAGCGCATTAAAGTTGACAAAATGTTTCTTACTCAAACTATCGGCAAAGTGCTGGACTGGAAAAAAAGTTTAACTAACCGGGGTTTACGTGAAGGCAAGATGCTCTGGAAAAAATCGAAAATGCTCTTAAATTTTTACTTTGTTTTAAAAAACAGTTGCTACTTAGCTTAAGGCTATTTTTAAAAGATATTACACATAGGTTGTCAATAAACTCATAAAGCTGATTAGATCACCTGGGATAACTAAAGTTTTGATGGTGATTTATTTATACTCAGGTTATAAACATAGCTTCAGGATATATTTTATATCATCTATGTATATAATTTTCATAAACCCTACTATATGATTTGTAGTTTATAAAAGCTTTGATATACATATATACTTTAAGAATAAATAGAAATCAAATTTTTTTGATAATGGTTTCTTTATCTTATAATAAATCTTATCATAAATTGTTTCCAGGGTCTTATCTCATAGATAGAGTATCTCTAGGATATAGAAATCCGTTCAGTGCGTTACCGTTTTGTCGCCTGAGTGTGTTTGTGTACCGAAATTGACAGATAAACTTTCGTTTCGAGTGTGTGTGTGCGTGCGTGCGTGCGACAAGGACGGAAGATGGCTTTTGTGTGCATGCAAAGCTTGCCGGAAATTTGCCAGTTCAACGCGAAACGACAAAAAGCCGGTGGAAAAGAATGAAAAAAAAGAAATGAGAAGGAGAAAGGGAAGTTGCAGCACACACCGAAATGAACTGCAAAGCTGTTCAAAGTTGTTTTTCTGTTTTGGCGCGACCGCATTATGCAATCGAGCAAAAGGTTGGGTGGGTGTGTATCACCCACTCTCCACCCCGACTAGTGCCATCCCGCTCTGGCGCACACATACTCGGTGTGAAGACAATGTGGCTATTGTCGCCATTATGCCGCACGCCAAGAGGCAATTTGGCCAATGCCTTGGCCATAAACTGCAACATTTGGGCTATCAGCATTTGGTTACGCTTCATTTGGCCAAAGAGCCGTAGTGCGACCCCCTTTGCCACCGCCCCTGCGGATTAGCAGCATGTGAGTGACCGCAAAGCAGGTGGGCAGGTTGAGTAGCCGACCCGTGGGCCGCCATGACCTACGCTCTGAAGTCGAGCGAGGCGAATGCCCAAAAGCAGGCTACGTGGGCGGTGTGCCAATGCCAGACGTTCCTCTATCCTCTCTGCCTCTGTTAACCTGGAATTCACCACTTTTCGGAGTCGTACTCTTTGCCAGGACAGGCCAGCTTTCTCTTAAATAGAGAGCTCTCTCGCTCTCTCTTTCTCTCGCTTTCTCTTGGCCCTATGACTAGGTCAGTAGTGTAACAGTCCCGTTTCCATTTCGTTCCGCATTTCACACGCCCACGTAACGGTACACTGCTTGGCATGCAGGATATGCCGCAATTTCTTAATACTCCGTTGGCTTTAAGCGGGTGAGCAGGGGGAGAGGGGGTAAGAGAGGGTAAGAGAGAGTGGCTGGCTGCGACAACTGTTACACTCACAGTTATGATTATTGTTATTATGATAATGTCAGCAGCATAAGCAGTCGTTGTTCTTGTTCTTGCTGTTATTGTTGTTGCTTTTCTATTCGGCTTTGCCGTTATTGTTTGGCTATTTGCTCGGTGGCGAAATGACTTATCCTTCGGGCAAGCGAGTATCCCAAGGATACACTATAAAAAAAGATACAAAAAGGGATAGGAAAGAACTAAATAATATTTAAAATCTACAACGATCGCTACAAATTGACCAATATTAGATTATTTTCCGATCCTTGACTGGTTACAACTATTTTGTGCAAAAAAACCACAAAAGGATAAGGATTAAAATTAATTAGGATTGCATAGAAAATAAAATGTGTGTAAAGAATCATGCAGGATGTTAAAAAACGATAAAGCCATAACCCTCTCCTAATGAAACTAGTATTTTTTCAACATTTTCTTAAGTAAGGACAAAATAAAATGTGGTTTTAACAGAATCAAATAAATGTATTTTTAATTTATATATACATATTTATAGATATATTATTGTGCATATATATTTACAATTAATTTAATAATTTTAATTGAAATTATTGTTTCACTTTAATACTATAAATGTTCCCTTAGTTATAGAGGCATTATAATTAAGGTCAAGCTTTTCTATATTTCTGAATATTTTAAAAATTAAGGATAAATATCTTTACTATTATAAAAAATTTCAAAATTTTAACTTTTTTCTTGGACTTGAAATTGGCGAATTTCTAAACTTACTATATGTTATGATGTTATTTTCCTAAGTGCAAGAAAAGAAAGGCAAACAAAAGTTTGACCAGCGAAGCGTTCACTTTTATGGCGCCAATACTTAGTTGCCTGGCTTTATTTTGCCGACTTCCTGGGGGCTCTCCTCCGAGCTCCCAGGTCCCAGCTCCCAGCTCTCGAATCGATCCATTGATTTTCCCGCCTCATTTGCAAAGACACCACCTGCACCTGGGCCCGCACTCCTCGACCTCGGGGCTCATTTGAAATTTTGATTACATTGGCAACGCGCCGAAGAGGAACCTGTCAGCGACTGATACGCATTAATTACGTTGCCCTTACCTTTACCTTTACCTGGTGTAAAAAGCAACGCCTCCGCGCTAGACGGGGCCGCTTATTAAAATTGAATAAATTATGCAAAGGTGCAAGGTCCGCCCGGCAGTGCGGAAAACCGGAGCCAATACTCCTACGCCCGTCGCCTGTAAGTACCATACATATAGATATATGTACCCCTGGCTCCGCAAGGCGGACACCGCATAATTAATTCCGGTCAGTCGCCAGCGGAGAGCGAAATGCAATCAGCGTCTTAAGCTGCCAAGTCAGGACCTCGCCGACCTCACAGGACCTCCAGGAGGAGTACCACTTACGCCAGGGGCGTTCGCAGGATTATATCCAGGGTTGAGGTTGGGGAAACCTCTCCATTCATCACTGACTGTCTAAAAAAAGAGATCCCTAAGGTGGAAATCAAAATAATACCTTTTAAAAAACTTATTATGACCGAAAAAAAAGGGTTGTATACAGCTTATAGGCCACAAGCTACCGGTTTTTAGGTTTGAATGCCAACCGATTAAGGATTTTATTACGAGTTAAACGAGGTATATCTTTCCAAAACTTTTAATCTTTTTAAAAATCTTTGACTTTTTCTAGTGAATTAGGATCAGCAAATTTTCATATTTCCAAAAAGAGATAAAAGGGTGAAAAATAAACATTTTCTGGTTTGAATGCCAATCGTTTAGGGATTTTATTACGAGTTGAACGAGGTATATCATTCCGAATTGTGACAATTTTTGCCCAGGATATGGCTTTTATTAGGGGAAGTTTGGGATAAATTAGCTTTTAAAATATTTTACTTTCTTTTGATATATTTGGGTGCATCCATGAGTCAAAAGCCGGAACACCAAGATCTTGAAAGTGGAAAGTTTCTATAGGTAAGTGAAGCCCAAGAATAAATATGATAGCTTTGCAAATGAATGCTAGTGATTGCACAAATGCACAAAGCCAGCCAGCCATTTCCCTTGTAGATGGCATCGCGAAATTCGACAAGTATTTCGATTTCATGTTTCACGCCCCAATAAATGCCCATTTAAATGCCGGCAGCCGAATTTGCATACATTTATACTTATGGACATAGTTTGGCCGATTGCCTCATGAGCCGCCGGCTGACAACTGACTGTTTTGTTAACTCCATTCAGAACAAGTCAAATACGCATGGTGATGTGCTGTTCGTTAATTTTTTAATTGTTTACACAAATAACAAACTGCGGTAACATGGTCAACAATATGGCCTACACCAAAGGGAGCTTGTAACACTTTATGTTTCGATAAACTTTATCTTTATAACAGCTATTATAATAATACTCTTTAAAAAGTGGGTAAACAGTGATAATATTATATCAAGGGATTTAAATATATCATCCTTTACAATCAGCATTTTATATACTTAAATACTATACGTATTTTATTATTTTCTAGGTGCTGAAAAAGACTTTATAAATTTCTTGACCCTTATTATATAATATTAATAGACAATCAGGTAAAGCTAGGTTCTATTTACAAAGTACTTATGTATATTTAAATCTAGCCATTCGAAGAGCATCACTTTGTTGCCGTGATTGCTTGCAGTCCTTTTGGTCCTTTGGTCCTGTGGTTCCCTGTAAAGGACATTCGTCCTGCCCTCGGAGATTCACTCTTGATGAAGGCAATTCCAAATGGTCTGCCTGTCGGTTAATCATATGTGTGTCCACCTTCCTTTAGGAAATTATCCCTAGAGTCCTGTGGTGGAGGTCCTGCCACAGGACGTCTTCCGCGGCGGTGGCAAATCAGATGTGTAGTTCTGATATCGAGACGAGCAGTTAATGGCCTGCGGGTACAAAAGGAGAAAGACTGAGAAAAATGATGGAAAATTGTCCAAATTTAATGCGAAAATAAAAATACATTAAGTACTGATGGCCCAGTGAAGGCCATTCACTGTTTTTGGCCAAAAATATTTGATTAATGATCTGTTTTGATGCAGAGTCACCCCCAAAAAGGGGGGAGTGGCAATCGGGGCAATGGGCCGAAGGCTATTCCCTTGTCAAGGCCTCTGGCTGCGATTGTTGCCATCGCTTTGCATTTGAATGATTAGATTTGATTCAATATTCAATTATTAAAGTGGTTTGAGGTGTTGAAATGCCGGCAGACAGGCAGTTGCCAGGCAACCAAACTGGGACCTGGGAACTGGGACTTCCACTGGAATCCCATCCCTATTGAGGGGAGTGAGAGGAGTTTGCATATAA